TGGCGAAACGTGCCTAACAACTGACAAACTCGTGCAAAATAAATTGCAGCCTTGCACTAGAGAACCGAACCGAACCCCCTGGAACAGAAAAACGTGTGCAACCCCAAACAAACGAAAGAGACGGAGAATTGAAAACAGAGAGCGAGAGAGAAAGAGAACTGCAGACAGTGCATTGGACATGCGCTTTCTGTGGTACAGTTTTTCAACTCCGGTTCTACGTTCACCCTGCTAGAAGAAACCCCCAAACCCAAACCCTTCAGAGGGGTTTCCTGGGCGGACTAGGTTGATTTTGGCCTTAGCTACTCGACCGGCTGGCCATCACAAATCATCCTAGCTACGGCCAAAGCCAAGGTGGAGCACCCCCGGGTCCCCAACCACCTGCAACAATCATCCCCTTTGTGGGCAAACTCTGCAGTTTCGGTGGTTAGTTGGGCCTGCTCAACTTGTTTTGATTTAGGGTCGTCGGCTTTCTCTTATATAATCCCCAGCAATGTCTTTGCAGTCAAATTTGTACTCCCATGGTTAATAAACAGTCGAGCGATATACACAGAAAATGTGTCAATAATGTGTAACCGTTTCTGGGATTAGGGATGTTTGATATTGGGGCGATTTTCAAAGTGTTAATTCGAAAGGATAAAAGGTTAAAGGATATGAAGATGGAAAATTTAGCTCAAGTTTTCTATATTTTTGTACCTCCTAAGCATCAGAAGCTCAGGCGCATCGAAATTACACAAATGACCATTTCGGATGATTTGTGAGGAGATACATGATTCATGATGAATGTGGCGCCAGGACAATGCCATAAAAGTCCTACATTCCCGAATAATAATCCTTTGCTTCCTCGCTGCACAATGAAGGGGAATTTTGTAACGACAAAACCTAGATAAATCACACGAAAGTAATATACATCCACTGACTAACCAATGGAAGTTAAAAAAACTTAAAAGAAATTAAATTAGTTAATCTACTCTAAGAAATGTATCCTACAAATTGAAGATTCTAGTTAACCTTTTTAGGATACAAATTTTCTAAAATCCAAATTTTTAACTTTTGGGATCTATATTTTATTTATTTGTTTAATTGCTCTCTGGATTTCATACAAATCATAAACTTAATAAAAATTTGTTCCATGGATATAAGGTTATTCCTCTCCTTGTTGCTTCGATTACCAACATCCTTCGATATTGATGCAATCGATATTATCGATATTTCTATTGAAGTTGCTTGGCTTTTATTTCGAGGCTGCAAATCGTACAAGCAAACTTTGGCTCGTCTGACGCTTTTTTTTATGACTTTTGGCTCTACTAGACTGCTAATATCCGAGGAGGTAGGTGGGGTGGGGGTTTTGGGGGAGCGCCTTGGAACTTATTTACTTTGCTTCTCTATTCTCCATTCTCTGCACAGAAGGCGCTATTTGCACTCTTCTTCGCCTCTTTTTATGCATTCACAGAAAACAAGCCGCTTAAAAATATTGCATTCACAGCACACACACTCACAACCAATGCACACTAAATACAAAGAGACATTTTCGCCATAGAGCCGAGCAACAAAAACAAGAGGAACGGCAAGAACAGGAGCAGTAACAAAAAGTTTCATTTCTTTGCCTAGAACAAAAAAGTGTGTGTGCGAAAAAAAGCGATGAAAAGCCAAAACGAACGGACAAAATGAGATGCAAAATGCAGAAGGGAGAACTTACCTATACCACTACGAAAGCTTGTGGGACATGCAATCCGCTCTCGTGCACTCACACACACACTCACGCGAAGGGGTGGTGTGGGGGGTTTGTTCGTGACGTCGACTGCGCTGCTCGCAGTGACAGTGGCAATGCCAAAGGCAAACTGCATATTTTCGAGGCCTACATCAACATTTTGCAGTTTTTTTCAGCAAGGGCGTGCAGCACGAGCAGACAAAGAGGCGCAAACAGAGAGCGAGTGAGAGAGAGTCAGCAGGAGAGCGAGTGAGAGAGAGTGCAGGCTGCTGGGCGCCCAGTGTTGTGCCACCTGCTAAAAAAAAGAGATAGACAAGCTGAGACTTAAGCACGTAACGGTGTAAATGAAACCTTGGTTGCATTTCTTTAAAATATTTAAAAAAATATTTTGTGAAAGAGATGCGCTACTAACTATCCCTGTTAAATCTTGAAAATGTATGGAAATTCAGTTTTTATATTCATCATGATGACGAGAAAACGGACCTAATTGTAGAAAAATTGGTTTTTATGATTATAATAGTCAAGATAAACTAGAACATTTGTACATTTTTTTATTGGTAATACACATTTTTTTAATGGAAGCAATAAATTGTAAGTTTAAATTGGCACTAGGATTCACTTTTTAAAAATAACCTACAATAAAAAAAAAGTTTTTTTATGTAGAGTTTCCTCTATTAATAATTTGATCGACAATTAATTTTATTTTAGAGATATTGTAATTTCTTGATAAATCCAAAGTTATTTTAAAGCTTAGGGTCTCTAAAATCAAACATTTTTAATGGGGAATTGTTTTTTTTGTTTCTTGAATGCCAAGAAGCAGGTCGATATTTTGTCTTATAGCGTAAAAGTCCGACCCGTCAGCACTGAAAGTTGGAAGTTGGCTGCAGTTTGTTTTCGTGGCCATGTACACTATATGCACGTATTTGTATATGGCTATAGCTTTCTGGCCTCGTCCTCCAGCGATCCCTTCTTCGGGGGAGTCGCAGTCGGAGTTGGAGTCGGAGGCGCTTACATGGATTATGTGGGTATGTAGTGCGGAATGGCGAACGGAGACCGAGCGACTAAGCACAATAACACAATGAACTCCAAACGTGGGCATCTCCAGAGGGGCGGGGCGGGGCGGATGGGTGGAAGCCAGTTGGGTGGACGTGGACCCGGGGGTGTCTTTTGTGCTGCACTGCTGCCGCTCTGGCGTCCACTTTTTTCATCCATTGCCGTTCTGCCTTTGTTTCGCTCTTCCGCTGGCATTGCGTGCGATGGAAAATGTCTTTTCATGGATGAAAAATGAAATGTGGCTCCTTTGTGGATCTGTGTGTGTGTGTGTTTGTTCGGTGTTTGGTGTTTGTAGGCAAGTTGCATTTTTGCGCTGGGTAATAATTACCGGCAGTCAGAAAGTTGATGTTATACACGCTCAGTTCTCTGGGGAGGGGGCCAAAGAGCTTTTCACCGTCACCTGGCGCCTACTTAGCTCTGCTCCATCGGATCAGCAGCGGCGATCCCGTGGGATGCAATCAACCCTCTTCTTCCACGACGAACTTGGACGAGAGCCGGTTAAACCAGCAGCAGGTTTTTACTTTTAGCCACGCGATTTCCCTGCCAAAGCAGCAACAATTTTCCACATTTCTGCGCGAGTGCAGTGAAAATGCAGTCAAGTTGGCGTCTCCCCATTTTCCATTTACCATTTTCCATGAGCCGCTGGAGCAGACAAAGTTTGCATGACGCCGTCGTTTATTTCATTTTCTGCGCTTTCCCGGGCTCCTTCCCTGGCTGGCTGGCAGTGAAATTGAAACGCAGCGACTGCAGAAAGGGGAGGGAAAGTGGTGGCCGTGAGGGCATGAGGCAGGAGCCAAGACAACGGGGCGTATGGGTAATATTTATGGCAATGTGCCTGGTGGGTAGAAAAGATGGGGTGGAGGGGAAAAAACGGTTGCTAAAAACTGTGTTAGGCCGACAATGCACTGCGTTGCACTCGCCTGCAGTTGAAGCCACCAAAGAGAGAAGGAGGAGGAGCAGGGTGCACTTGTGGCCAAGTGACGTCTTAGCCGCTTTGGCTTCGATTCCTCCTGCCTCTTGTACTTTAGTCAAGTGTCTGAGACGTGTCTTGGGCCAGCCTTCTATTGCCATTGCTGCTGCTGCTGCTGCTGCTCCTGTCACTGTCATTCCTCCTGCGGTCGTTTCTGTTGCAGTTGCAACAGCACAGCACGTACTTGAGCGCCGCCAACGCCCACTGCCCCGCGTATCTAGCGTATCTAGCCCCCATCTAACTGCCCCTCCTTGGCACATAGTTAGTGCCTTTGTGGGGAAAACTTGCACTTGATATTCTTTTATCTCTTTGTGGGAGTGTTGCGAGCGTGACTATTCGCATAATGTATCTCTCCAGCGCCATTCATAGTTCTTGATCCCACACATACAAACCCTCTTTGGAACGTAATCGATAGTGGGTCTTGATGGTTTATGGTTGGTATAGGAAGAAAGTACTGGGAGCCAACCATTGATGGTTGGTGGTGGATATCAACTTTTAATAGCACTCAACAGGAAAACAAGGATCCAGCAAAGCTTACTGATAGATAAATTATTTAAACGGTACAAGAACACAAGTACAGATCTAAGCTAACCGAATCTTTAACAGTTATTAAAGCATAATTTCGGATAAATTAATTTAAAGATTTTAAAATTTAGATATTTTATGCAGAAAACCAGTTGCCATATACCTATACATTTTTTTAAAATATATTAAGAGCTTAGGATTTAATTTGTACTTGATAAAGATGTTCCTTAGATATTTTTTGAGCTTCATAAATTTGGTATTTTAATTCTTTATCTATTCTTAATATTTTGTAATTTGTCAATTTGTCTGTTACACCCTGTTACAGTGGTGTAAACTCTCAAGTATACCTTAAGTAGAGCTTAATTATAATGGGATAACACAATAGTCACTCCAGTTCCCTAGAATCTCCCTTTTCAGTGACGTGCATTCCCCTCCAGCAATCCAAACCTCCCTTGCTTAATTTTGGTTGATGAGAATAATTTCGTGCCTCAATCCGTTGACTTTGAGCGGCAACGTTAATTGAATTTTAAATTTCTCGGGGGACAATGGCGGAGTTGGGGGCGTCGCTAAACTCCGTTTGGAAGCGAATCAGTTGAATCCAGAGCTTGCAAAACATGCAAATGGCGAAGAACATAAGAACTCTGGCAGAGAAAATTTATTTATTTGGGTCTAATGTTTTATGGATCGCCGCTGAATATATACCATACTAACTAGATGCCTCCCCCACCTTCTTTTTATCAACAGGTCGCGATGATCTCTCGCCATCGAGCAGCCTGAACGGATACTCGGCGAACGAGAGCTGCGATGCGAAGAAGAGCAAGAAGGGACCGGCGCCGCGGGTGCAGGAGGAGCTGTGCCTGGTCTGCGGCGACCGGGCGTCGGGCTACCACTACAACGCCCTCACCTGCGAGGGCTGCAAGGGCTTCTTCCGGCGCAGCGTGACGAAGAGCGCCGTCTACTGCTGCAAATTCGGGCGGGCCTGCGAAATGGACATGTACATGCGGCGCAAGTGCCAGGAGTGCCGGCTGAAAAAGTGCCTGGCCGTGGGCATGAGGCCGGAGTGCGTCGTCCCCGAGAACCAGTGCGCCATGAAGCGGCGCGAGAAGAAGGCCCAGAAGGAGAAGGACAAGATGACCACGTCGCCCAGCTCGCAGCACGGCGGCAACGGGGGAAGCGTGGGCTCTGGCAATGCCCACGACTTTGTTAAGAAGGAGATCCTTGACCTGATGACATGCGAGGCGCCACAGCATGCCACTATTCCGGTAGGGAAATTATATCATTTGGAAATTAAAGCCATCGTGACCACATTGATTTTCCCTTACAGCTACTACCTGATGAAATTTTGGCCAAGTGTCAAGCGCGCAATATACCTTCATTAACGTACAATCAGTTGGCCGTTATATACAAATTAATTTGGTACCAGGATGGCTATGAGCAGCCATCCGAAGAGGATCTCAGGCGTATAATGGTGGGTCTATCTCTAAAGTAAATACCCCAAAACACACATAAAGTCTAATATTCGGTTACCTTTACCCGCAGAGTCAACCCGATGAGAACGAAAGCCAGACGGACGTCAGCTTTCGGCACATCACAGAGATAACCATACTCACAGTCCAGCTGATTGTTGAGTTTGCCAAGGGTCTACCAGCGTTTACAAAGATACCCCAGGAGGACCAGATCACGTTACTAAAGGTGAGTTGAAGTCTGAAGAGTATAAAAACCAAATATGATGACTAACTAACTCCCTAACTAATAGGCCTGCTCGTCGGAGGTAATGATGCTGCGCATGGCTCGCCGCTACGATCACAGCTCGGACTCCATATTCTTCGCGAATAACCGATCCTATACGCGGGACTCGTACAAAATGGCCGGAATGGCTGACAATATTGAAGACCTGCTGCATTTCTGCCGCCAAATGTTTTCGATGAAGGTGGACAACGTCGAATACGCGCTACTCACTGCCATTGTGATCTTCTCGGACCGGCCGGGCCTTGAGAAGGCCCAACTAGTCGAAGCGATCCAGAGCTACTACATCGACACGCTACGCATTTATATACTCAATCGCCACTGCGGCGACTCCATGAGCCTTGTCTTCTACGCCAAGCTGCTCTCGATCCTCACCGAGCTGCGCACGCTGGGCAACCAGAACGCCGAGATGTGCTTTTCGCTTAAGCTCAAGAACCGCAAGCTGCCCAAGTTCCTCGAGGAGATCTGGGACGTGCACGCCATCCCGCCCTCGGTGCAATCGCATCTCCAGGTAACCCAGGAGGAGAACGAGCGACTCGAGCGGGCGGAGCGTATGCGCGCCTCGGTTGGTGGGGCCATAACTGCCGGACTCGACACCGAGTCGGCCTCCACTTCGGCGGCAGCGGCAGCGGCGGCGGTTCAGCATCAACCTCAGCCTACGAACCAGACCCAAAACGATGCACAGCATCAATCGCAGACGCAGCAGGCGCAGCCTCAGTTGCAACCGCAGTTGCAGCCACAGTTACAGCCGCAGTTGCAGGCTCAATTGCAACCGCAGCTTCAGGCGCAGCCTCTCCAGGCGCAACCCCAGCTTCTTACCGTTCCCGTCACCGTTCCCATCACCGGAGGACCCTCGCCTGGTTCCGTTTCGGCGGTCAGTACGAGCAGCGACTTTATTGGCGGCAGTGGGTCCATAGGATCCATCTCGGCGGCGGCGACAACCTCCTCGGTGACTGCTGTGCCCGCCAGCTCCACCACTCCGGCCGTGGCGATGGGCAATGGAGTTCGAGTGGGCGTGGGTGTAGGAGTCGGAGTGGGCGGCAATGTCAGCATGTATGCGAACGCCCAGACGGCGATGGCCCTGATGGGCGTGGCCCTGCATTCGCACCAGGAGCAACTCATCGGCGGAGTGGCGGTCAAGTCGGAGCACTCGACGACGGCATAGCAGACGCAGTCGCAGCGCCACCAACAGACCATCGGAATCCTGCTGGATTGAGGAGGGCAGCTGAGGAGTTTAGTTTCGAAAATAGAAGTGAATAATTAATGGACAAGCGTAAAATGCAGTTATTTAGTCTTAAGCCTGCAAATATTAGAGTTTATCTATTATTCATACGATTTAACAGATAACACAGCCTATTAACAATTACGAAAGCTTATTTGAAACAAGCTTCTACCACAATTGGACAAACGCGTTGAGAAACAGAGAGAGAGAGAGACGGACAAATGTAAAATCATGAAGTTTAGAATCAAATCTTTGGTGGGCGGACTCACGCCTCACGATCAATTCTCGAATTTTGTTATTCAATTTGATCCTCCGAACTGCATGCGAAACAGATAACAGATCAGAAAAAAGAACAGAGAGTAGGGCGAGACCAGAGAGAAGAGAATAAAGATTGTTTATATTTTAAAAATATATAAAATAATAATTACTAACTGTAAACTTAATGAAAGCAACTGTATAATACCTAACTATTACTCTAAATCCTTACGTTAGAGAATCGAGTAAATCTGTTAAAGGAAAATAATAGTTATGATAATAACATTAACATCCACCATAACTAAATACATTTAAATTAATTCAAAACAAAAAACTCTAAAAAAAAAACATGCAAAACTTGGACTGATTTTATAAATATTTTTTAATCATAACGAAAGGCAAACTGTAAAAAATATTACAAAAAGCAAAACTAAACAAAGAAACAAAAATTGATTATGCCCTCCCAATATTTTTTAAAATATTAGAATTTAAATTCAAAGATTCTAATGAGTTCCACCCAAAAACATTTGCAAGCAAAAACCAAGAACCTTTAATATTGGCATCGTTTTAAGACATTTTTTTCAAAAAAAAACTTTTATATTGAACTTTAACAAGAGATAATGAAATTGAAGTGATTGGAGTCTTACTCAAAAACCAAAAGGCATCAAAAGGTATTAAGTCTAAAATAAATATTGATTTCAAATTCAATAAACACTTTTTGGTGGAAAATAGTTTTCAATCACTTTGATAACAGCCACACATATAAATACACACATACACCAAAAGACTTCAATATATATTTATAAAATTTACATTGGTAATTCAAAATTTGTATGAAAGAAACAAAATTCAACAAATTTGGCGAAATCAAAATTTATTTTTAAAGAACGTGCAAATTTTTTACTTTGGCAATTTTTATGTTAAACAAAATTTAATGCAATTGATTTTCAAAAAACTTTTTTTAGATTGTATTAGTTTATTTTGCTTTGAGATGTACATTTTAAATAAATTGTTTAAAATTGTTGGCCTTATTTTAACTTAAATCAAATTTATTCTAATTTTAATAGAAATTTGTGTTGGAAGATAAAAAAAACACTGTAAAATAATAACTAAATAAAACGTAAAGTTACAAGTTAAATTCTTTTATTGTGTAAAGATTAAATAACATCTTACGTAGCTTTCTACTTGAATTGTGCAATTTTTTACTTTTACTACTAATCTTAATTTAAATATAATTTTACACTCACACGCATACACACGCCTACACACACAGCCACACATGTAAAACTTTAAGTAAACTTAATTTATAAAGATGAATTTGTGTAAAGATGAACTAAAAGTAGCATGATATCATGGTTATATATGGAGTAACTCTTATCAAACGAGCGCAATGCTTTCAAGAAGAGAAATCTAATTAAATGTAGCCTGCACTTTGACAAACAGAAAGCAGTGAATTATTTATTCATAAAATGTGTAATCGGACAGAGGGAACCTCCAAGGGAAGATTCAAACCAGCGATGGTCCCTGCTCATCAAACTCAATTTAAGTTTCGTTTTTACAATCGGTTTAAGTTCGACTCTTCTAGTATGCACACTCGAGTACGTTCAATTATTATTATAAAAATATACATTAGTTACATTTATGCATACCTTGTTTTATAGTTCTACACATATTGTAAAGAAGCAAACTCCATCGTAATACGGAATATTTTTACCTTTTTACCTAATTGCCGCAAGTGGAAGAAGTAACGGCAAGCAAAATATATACAATATATGAAAAAAATATGTTGAAACACAACAAAAATAAGACAAGAAAAAAATATGCAAAAAACCATAAACCAAACCCTGGTGTTTTTATTTTGCCAAATATTTTTTCGTCATATTCAATGTGTTTCATTTTTGTTTGCTAAGGAAAAGATTAAAACTAGTGGGATGTGAGTGAAAGACTTATGAGCTGGAAATTCAGAATTTGAACAAAATTTGCATGCGATGCAAATGGCTGTGAAATTGGCTAAGAACGAAAGGAACAGGTTAAAAATGGAGAAAATAGTAAGCAAAAAGCAGTTTTGTACCTTTTTGACATTTGTTTTATGATTTATTTCTTTTTCAGTGGATAAAACAGAAAAAAGCTATTAAATAGCTTACAAAAATGTTTAAATAACATTTATTTGCTAAAAACACTTTTGAGATCCGAATGTGGTAGGGAGCGGATGACTTTCCACATTATCATAGTTATTCGATTTACAATTCCAGACCCAAGTCGAGTATTAAATTTAGTCTAAGTCAAGCATAATAAATACTCTCGATAGACCCTCGCTAAATCTTTAAAATATTACATTGTAGCACGCCTAAGACCTGTACATATGCATAAAATAATAAATATATATTTATATCTCTCGCTCTATAAGAATGCAAACAAAGAATGCGAATAACAAAAATACAAATAATGCAACCTGATGAATTACGAAAATACAAGATGGTATAAAGTAACAATTTGTTGACAGATCCATTCATATAAAGGAGGTAACCAAAACTAATCCACAAAGCTAAAGCTGAAACGTGAAAAAAAATCGTTATGTAGATTTTTGAAATTCGAGACTATGTTTAATTTTTATGCACTGTTTTTTGTTATGTGTAAACTCGTAACTTGTTTTGCCCCAATATCTAGACCTAACTATGTAGAACCCACGACCACGACCGTGTACACAGCCTGTAACCCTAAGAGAAATTGATTGACACTCACACACAATTACAAGCATTTTGTGTTTAACTTGTAGATATTGATCCTGAATTGAAAAACTACCTCAAGCAAAACAAACGATGATGAAGCAGACGGGCGAAAGATGTAGGGTGATCGAAAGGTTTTAAGCATTATAAAAATAAATCTAACTACAAGCGAGACCTTAGCAGCAGAGTATGAGCAGGAAAAGAAGACAAAAAACGTATACCTTTAACAAAGATTATTATTTCCGTAATAGAAATTCGTTTCCCACGCACCTCAGCACATAGCGACTTCGTTTTGAAGTTAGAGCATAAACGCCCCAAGCCTTGTTAGAGGTTAGAGGTACCTGGTTTGTCGCAAAAATACGCAATATTGGACTTAAATTATTTGCATTATCATAACGTAAGCGAGAAGAAAACAACACAAAGCTTCTTGAGTTGACTTGAGTTGAATAGCTTAGTTTTTCTCACTGCCAAATCGAAATTGAGATCTAATAACCATGCAGATTGACTAAGTTATCAAACCGCAGCCATTTTTCGAACTTAGAGTAAATAAAAGGGGAGACACCATAAGTCTATTTCATTTGCAATGTCTAGCAATCAGTAAAATAAATTTAAATGGTAAAAACGAATATCTACGATATATATACAATTATAGCAACCAGGTCAAGATACGATTTCGAGTATATCTTTAAGTCAGAACATATACGTATGTGGATTGACAACGCACACAATTCGAAGACAGAGAACTTAGCGAGTAAAATCATTTTTCTGAAAAATACAAATAGAGAATACCCAATACAAAAAACAACTGAATTGATGGCATTTTAGTGTAACGAGAAATACAAAAAAGGCGATAATCTAATCAGCATACTGAAAATATTCTAAACGAAGCCCATTACACTCCAGATACGTAAGAGGAAATAAAATAGCAAACGGAAAGCGAAAATAGCAGATTTGAATTAATTGAATGAACGGACGGATTGTCTAGAAATAGTTTTCTATTTCACTTGCATTATTATTTACATGCTACACTGCCAGCAAACTTTTACTTCACCTTTTAGACCTATCCGGCGAATGTGTTAGGTCGAAAAACCAAATATTGTTTCGTTTCAATATCTTCCCATTTAGCGAATATTTTCCTAAGTTGCCGTATACCGATTTTGATAACGAGAGAGAAGTAGAGATTGTTAGCATTTAAACCGAATAAACAAAGGCAAGCGCATGCATACCTTCTTCTAACTGTGTATTTCCCCGGGCTTGACATTGGCTACACCGAAATGGGAAATAAATTCGAGATGAGGTGTGAAAAACAAATGGTGCATAAATATGTATAACCTCTGACATGTATCTAGATGCACTTATTTAAATGTATAAAACTGATATCTAATTTGAAAATCTTTTTCTTAAAGTTAATATATGTAATTGCTAATATCTAACAACGTAACACGATGAAAACTTTTATACTTTAAAGATCGAAACACTATATTAAGTTGGAGGACGAACAGAAGAATGTCGAATAAGCGATTTCGAGCGTCTGGCGCATCGTCAACAGCTAAAGATGTGAATTAAAACAGACGTAAATAATTACATTTTTAAAACTAATTTCATAATTAACATATTTATTTAGGCCTAGATACACTTACATTTTGCATAGTTGTATAACTAAGTTGTAAATATATACATACACATAAATCTAACAGAAGTCTATATATACGATATATGAAAGTGTAATAAAATAAAAATGATATATTTAAAAAATGATCTTTTAATTCGGTAGTTTAGGCTACGAAATTGGGTGATTTTGACTGATATTTAAACAAATGTTTAGAATTGCGCTTTGAAAATTTTTTTTTATAACTAAAGATGTGAAAAATGATATTTTTAATTTGCTTCTTTCAATTTTTGCTATAACTATAAATTTTTTTCTTAAAATTACCAAAAGAAGAGTGTTTTGCCAAAAAAACTAACCAATAATGAGGTTTTTTCAACCCCATAGTTTATGCAAAATTTTTAAAGATTTTGACTTCACTTTGTCCATAATTTTTAAAAGGTTTTTTCTCGTTAGTTCCTAAAAAGCTATATTATTTAGTAAACCGGTTACAAATTGTTTAAATGTTTAACAAATTTTACATATCTATAAAATCTACAACTCGATAATTGTGTAAACGGGTCCTTATAAAGGACTCCTTACATGAGCACTGTGTGAACGGGCCTTATGATCCATAGTATTTTAATGAAAACGGTATTTAATTTGCCATATTTTTCGTAGCGGTATTTTGTTTCGCTCAAAATCGGTCACACTGATTGCCAGACGCGCCGTTTTGCGGAAAATTTATTATAGTCAAGAAAAAGGTAATTGTTTGATGTTTTGAAAGTGGATAACTAAGCGAAACACCGCTTATATCTTGGAGCTCACCTCCTGCTATTGAAAATTTCTTCAATTGTGCTCTATTGCCCCGCCGCAAAACACGTAAGCGGTTGTAATCAAATTGCCAAGATGGCGGCTGTGCAGAAAACATAAATTGCTATCCACCCAAAAACGAAGATACTCTTCGTCTGGCAAACCCAAATTGGCCAATCCCAACTTTAAGCCATTAGAACACCTTGATAACAACCGACTGAAAAGGCCCCGAAGTGAGGTTAAGTAGGAGCCGCTTTCACTTACACCGACCTTTCTTCCCCGTTGCAGACAACCCACAATGGCTGATTCGGACGACGAGTACGATCGGAAGCGGCGGGACAAGTTCCGCGGCGAGCGCAGCGAAAGTTACCGCACGGAACGCCGCGACGAGCGCCGCCCGGTGGGAGGTTCAGCCGGCGCCCGCGACGACTGGGCGGATCGGTAAGTGGCGGTCAACGTTCAGCTAGTGCATGACAACATTTACTGGACGTTTCAGCAATCCATTCAGGGGCGCAGCTTCGGCAGGAGGCGGCGGAGGAGGAGGGGCACGCCACAGGCCGGACTACAGCGACTACCGGGGACCGGGACCCAGGGCCCGCTACGGATCACCGGGCCGAGATCTGCCGCCCGCCAAGCGGATGCGACCCGATTGGGGCGACGGCGATGTGCGCTCCAATCCGCGTTTCGGAGGTAAGTGCTAATCTGGGATCAGATTTATACAGGATCTAAAAAACTTCATATTTTTCCATTCCAGGCTACGATCCGTACTTGATGCAGGCCTGGAACGATCACTACCAGTCCATGCACTCGGCCTACTCCCATGCCGGCCATGCCCCGCCCCCTCGGGAGTCCCTAGGCGGCGGCGGAGGCGGTGATACCCTCACCCAGCCGGCCATGCTCAACCTGAAGCAGTTCCTCGACACCCAGGACGAGAACATCTCGGACTCGGAAGTGATGCGCAAGTACACCGAGTACAAGACGGACTTCAAGCGGCAGCAGCTGAACGAGTTCTTCGTGGCCCACAAGGACGAGGAATGGTTAGTAGCCGACCATCACATCAGCGGGGCATCCATATCAATACGGTTCCGTTGATATCTCCGCCTCTGCAGGCCCCTTGCGTTATTTGCCCAGATCTCCTGTCCTGTTCGCCACTCATAACTTTCTGTATATTAAGTTTTTCTCTGCAGCTTATTGGGTTTGTGAGACAGAGACTTCTCTGAGAGGTTCTGCGCCATTTCGCAGAGCTGCTAACTGATATCTGCCAAATTGTTAATTTGTTAATTACCCGGCGAGCAATGCCGCGGTGTGTTCATATTTTAAAACCGCGATTTATTTAATTCGATTGTCGAGCCAAAGCCCAAAAAAACCATATAATAATCCCATAAATAACGAAAGCGCTAAGCTGGCAAGGTAAGATTTTGGGTGATAATTCAACAACAACAAAAAAAACCTTTATAAACCAATGATAAATTAACCAAACTGACTATCAACAGCCGGGCGAAGAAGCAAAAAAGTAGAATTTAAAACCATATAGGGAAATATTACTTTTTTCGCCGCACTAACTAATATTTTATATTTTTTATATCTGCAGGTTCAAAAATAAATACCACCCCGAGGACAGTGTAAAGCGCAGCGAGGAGCAGCGAGGCTTCCTGCAGGTACTATCACTCTTCCACTCACTCCTGCAACCATTTTTAAACACACCTATTGCAGAGACGAACTGATGTCTTCGTGGAGCTGCTCGAGAACGGAACTATTGGAGGGGTGAAGGTGGATTCCTCGCAGGGTGATGCCCTGATCCGCGTGTTGGACACCTGTGTTATCAAGCTGGAAGGCGGCACAGACGAGGACCTCAAGGTGCTGGACGAGAAGCCCAAGGAGCCGGTGGTCTATGAGCGAAAGGCGGAGCCAGTAGATTCTGCCAAGTCAGCAGAGGAGACAATCAAGAGTCCCAAGGAAGAGAAGATGAACGAGGACGATTCGTTGCCCGTGGTTGTGTCGCCTCAGCGGAAAACTGTGAAACCCGTAAATTCCGACGAGGAGAACTGGGATGATGAGGAGCCCGAAAAAGCGCAGCCCAAAAAAGAGGCGGAGGAGGATTCAAAGGTTGACGAGGACAAGCAGCCGCCTAAGAAAAAGACAAAGAAGCGCAAACGGAATAGCAGCGATGATGACAGCTCCTCTTCCGACTCCGATTCCAGTTCCAGCTCAGATGACGAGAAGCTCAAGGAGAAGTACGACGTGGAAGACGGCCTGAGGAGTGAGCAAAAAGCCGAGGCGGAAAGGGACAGACAAGAAGCGGCCAAGGCCAAGCAGGCACCGGAAAGTCCAAAGCCGGAAGAGGTTGTGGAAAAGCCAGCTGCTGAAGTCGAAGAAACAGAGGCAGAGAAGAAAGCCGACGAGAATGACGAGGCGGAAAAGTCACCGGAAACAGATTCGGCTGCGGTTAAGGAGTCGGAAAATGGAGGCGAGGAAAAAACAGAAGAGGGAGAGGAAAAACCTACCGCAGATGAAAACAAACCTGTCGAAACCGAGACCATCGACCTGGACAAGGTAAAGGATGGCCAGCCAAGGGCGCTGCATCGCACCTCCTCCATTTTCCTGCGCAACCTAGCACCCTCCATAACCAGAGCCGAGATCGAGGGCGTTTGCAACCGTTTTAACGGCTACCTTCGCGTGGCCATTGCCGATCCCCTGGTGGAGCGTCGTTGGTATCGCCGCGGCTGGATAACCTTCATGCGGGACGTCAACATCAAAGAGATTTGCTGGGGCCTGAACAACCAGCGGCTGCGGGACTGCGAAATGGGAGCCATAGTCAATCGGGATCTAAGTCGACGGGTGCGCCCAGCCAACGGCATCACCGCCCACAAGCAGGTGGTGCGTTCGGACATTAAACTGTGCGCCAAGATCGCTTTGAATCTGGACGAGAGGTTCAAGCTGTGGACTGAGACGTCGGCAAACGAAGCGAATGCCAAGACTGCGAGCGAATCTTCGGCGAATGGCAGCGCCTCCACGTATGGCTTCAATTCGAAGAATCCGGTGCTGCAAAACATCACCGATTACCTCATCGAAGAGGCGTCCGCCGAGGAAGAGGAGCTCCTCGGCCTCACAGGCGAAAGCAAGGACGCCGAGGGCGAACCCATCGAGCGAGATGAGCAATTAATAGCGGTTCTGGACCGCCTAGTACTCTACTTGCGCATTGTGCACTCTGTGGACTATTACAACCACTGCGAGTATCCGTACGAGGACGAGATGCCCAATCGCTGCGGCATCATCCATGCCCGCGGTCCGGCGCCTGTTCGCGTAACCAGCAACGATGTGCAGGAGTACATCAAGACGTACGAGGGCAAGCTGCAACAGTTTCTCACTAAGACAACGCTACTCGGCGAGGAAGAGATTAAGGACCTGGGCGCCAAGGACGCCGAGACCGAGGTGGAGAAGTTTGTGCAGGCCAACACACAGGAACTGGCCAAGGACAAGTGGCTATGCCCGCTGTCGGGCAAGAAGTTCAAGGGCCCCGAGTTCATACGCAAGCACATCTTCAACAAGCACGAGGAGAAGGTGGACGAGGTGCGCAAGGAGGTGCAGTACTTCAACAACTATCTGCGCGATCCCAAGCGCCCGCAGCTGCCGGAGCATCCGGGCAGCTCTAAGCGTCCGGAATCGGAGTCAAGCCGAGGAGGAGGGTGAGTGGAGTAGCTGCTTCTTTTATACACGAGAATAATGAATATCATTCCTTAAATACAGCTACCGCCCGCCGATGTATCCCCCCTTTTCGGCGATGCCCTACGGCTTTGGCCCACCCATGATGGGTGGTGGACGTGGAGGACGTAATTTTCCTCCTGCCCGCAGGTTAGTACATCTAAATTTATACCTATAGTGTAGGAGAGCTATCAAGCATAGGATTCACAGTAGAATTTCTCAGAAGCGATCAATGGATCGTTTCGATAAACTTGTTTTCTCCATTTTTGTTCACATTTTTCTTGGTGAACTGTAGAAGCATATTTGACCCCTAGAGACATAATAAACTCAGAGTTTACAGCGGCTTAAAAGTCCAATCTAAACACCCAAACACTCTGATAGGCATCCCTTTCTCTACCCCTTTTTACTTTGTTTTCTCTTTTGTTGGTCTAAATCAAAATTTGTCACAACTTTCTTGTGTCGCAAATTTTTTGCAGAGAATTGCCTTTGGAACACCAGCGCCGGCTAATCGGTTACCATGATTTGGATGCGCCTGCCAATTCCGATATGTTTGACTAATTGATTAGCACAATGCGAATGAAAACAGGCCATCTCGCTGCAGCTTTTATTGTTTGGCGAGCTCAAGTTTTAAAAGCAATTCAAGCACTGCTAGGAGGGGTGTGTCTACTGCATATAAAGACGGTTTATATACGACAACTGATATCCGCTTTCCCGTACAATAAAATGCCAATTGTATTAAGAATTCTGTCGGATTGCCCACTTTTGTTTGCCCGAAATAAATGCGAATCCGTAGCCTAAAACAAAGCACTGTATTATCTTGTATCTCTGCCCTGCCTGCCATTAGCATTGCGTGAATAATTCCAATATCTATATTCATTTCCGTTGCTTACAGACCCGGTGGTTTTGATTATCGACCCAGATCACACTACCGGGACTTGGACGCGCCGCAAGAACCGTACTAGAACCACAAACTAAATCAATTGTATTTATCACATTAATAATTGCTAAACACTCAACTTAAGCTATCCCGATTGACGCCTGTTTTGTACGGTATACTTTTGTATTCCCTTAAAGAAATCGAAATAAAGTGCGAATGAAAAGCGAATTTCTGGTGGTTCCACCCTGTTGGATCTTATTTTCCCCATCGTAAACAGAGAGCAGTGCGAGGGCGCTGGTTCCTGGTTCCCAAGAGAGGAGGTATGATATATATTGGTTCTCTTGGTTCGCCCAAGAGACCTGCATTTGGAGAAGCGTGCTAAAAATAATCCCCCAGTTGCCGGCGCGCCGAAATCAGCCGAGTCAAAAAGAAAATTTCCTTGGCCGACGTAACAGCGCAAAAGAATATCTATTCAGGAGCAAGAACAATGGTCTCTAGCACGGACTGTCCCGTTTGCGGAGTGGCCGCCTCGCAGGCGTGCACCAGGTGCAAGATGGTGCGCTACTGCGACCGGGAGCACCAGAAGCAGCACTGGCCGCAGCACAAGCGCAGCTGCAGGCCCTTCGCCGAGGCGGAGGATACCGAGCTGGGCAGGTATTTAATGGCCACCCAGGACATTGCTGCCGGCCAGATAGTCTTCGTGGAGGAGCCCCTGGTGGTGGGGCCCAAGTGGTATCCCTCCGACGCCGAGAAGGAGGCCTCCGTCGTTCCGTGCGTGGGCTGTTCCATGCCCAGTCGCCTGGGCAAGCACCAGTGTCGCAGGTGAAGCACCCGTTTGTTCCCCGCTAGTGAGTATCTAAACCATCCCCTACTTTTAGGTGCCGTTGGCCCGTCTGCAGTTCCAACTGTGAGCACGAGGCCCTGGAATGCAGTGTGCTCAGCCTGGGATCGTCGGGCCAACCGCCTCGTTCGGATGCCCGTTCCCTGAACGACTACTTCAGGGGCGAGGCCCTCCTGGTGCTCAAGTGCCTGCTGCTGCAGCGACAGAACCCGGCCAAGTGGGCTGCTCTGCTGGAGATGCAGTCGCACGAGGAGGAGCGCCGGGGCACCGAGATGCACGAGGAGGCGGAGAAGCGGGTGGTGAGCTACCTGCAGCAGCGCTTCTTGCGCCGCCTGCAGAAGACCAAGCCCAATCTGTTGCCCGACTGCGGATCGGAGTTGCTGCATCGCCTGTGCGGCATCGTGGAGACCAACTTTATGGTCATCGAGCTGCCGACGGGAGTGGAAATGAGCGGGCTGTTCCGGCAGGCCTGCATGATGGAGCACGCCTGCCAGCCCAATTGTGATTTTGTGTTCGATGCTTTGACTCAGCAACTGGCTGTGCGGGCAGGCTGTAACCTGAAAAAGGGCGACCACTTACGCATCACCTACACCAACATTTTGTGGGGCACCCAACTGCGCCAGCATCATCTGCGCCTAACGAAGCATTTCAGCTGCCGTTGCAGTCGCTGTCTGGATCCCACGGAATACGGCACGTATATCAGTGCACTGGCTTGTCTGGGCGATGTAAACCAGACCTGCAGTGGCACCCATCTGCCCGTGGATCCGTTGGACGAGAACACTCAGTGGAAGTGCGATACCTGCCCCATGGTGGTGGATGGAGCCTACGTAGCCGAGCTGCAGACCCACATGACCGAGCAGGTGGATGGCCTCATGAACGGCTGCCCATCGGCGAATCAGGTTGAATTGCTTCTGGCCCGCCTGTCGCAGATGCTGCATCCGAACCACTTTCACACCTTCAACCTTAGGCACACATTGATCCAGTTGTACGGCAACGAAGCAGGTTTGGAGCTGGGCGGGCTCAGCGCCGTGCAGCTGGAGCGAAAGCTGCGCCTGTGCGATGAGCTGTACGACGTCTGCCGGCGACTGGATCCGCACAGCATCAAACTCGCCATTTACGTGACCGTCATTCTGATTGAGATGGCCCACACTCTGGAGGAACAGGCTCGCCGAGCTTCGGTAGAGGGTTCTTCCCTTCTGGAACTGGCACAAGGAAAACTCAAAGAAGCTCAGGTGGTCATGGAGAAGGAGCAACAATCGGTGGCGGGCCAGAAGCTGAACGCAAAGCTCCAGAAGGAAGTCTTCGAGTGCGAAAAACAGATTTTGACTTATACCTATAACCAAAAACGGGATGTCGGTCAAAAGTAATTTTATTCGAGAAAAACATTGGCTAACACAAAATAATTCAACTTTAAAAATCATTTCTTTAGATAAGTAAATGGTAATATTTTTGATTAGTACTCTAAATTAGTCTAAAGAAATGAGTTTTAAAGTTGATCTCGTTTGGAATACAAAACGAGTAAGCAACATTTGACATCACAATCTTTCACCCCAATCATTTTTAGTAGGCTCTCAGTTAAAATAAAAATTATTAAAAAATGCATTAAAGCTATAAAGGCCCTTAGAAACCTTTTTTATTTTTTATTATCCCTTAAATTATGGAGTAAGCAAAAAAATGCAGGATATATATATATCAATTTTAAAACATTTAAAAATCACTTAGAAACCTTATAGTCGGTTGCCTATATCAGATACCCGCTATTGACGAAACAAACCGTAAGTTATTCGAAAACACTGAAGGGTTTCTTAAGAAATCTGTACATTTATTTACCTACATGAAATGACTGATACTTAAATTATTGTACAGCTTGTAGCTCGACTCGGGGCTGTCTCAGGAGTTGAGGATGCGCTCGTAGAATGTCTCGTTGTTGGCGCAGGTTCTTAACGATGCCTGGCAAGTGCCAGGAGTGTCTAAGCAGACTATCCCTCACATCAAAGTGGGCATGTCGTACACAACGCAGCTGGGAGCAATGCGCTGTGGTGCGGAGTTCCAAGGCCATGTCGTGTATTAGGGCGGCTAAATATTCCTGCGTCTCATTAATCGAGTGCAGTTCCAGCGTAAAGTGCGGCCTTTCGAAGTGGATCAGCTTGATGCCGTAGACAACGGGTTGACTGTCGTCCGCCGGACGGAGGAGCCCCCGACAGGCCAGTTCGTAGGCCTCTTGGGTCTGCAAATCGACGCCGCAGAGCTCGAACATTTTGCGCTGATGAGAGGCCTGCATGGAGGCGGCCAGGCCGCTGATCCTGTCCGCAGAGACGTGTCGGTGGTTGGAGCGCATCGTGACCCGTGAGTCCGGCAGGTGGTTCTCTGTGGCACTGCCCAGTCGTCCGGTTATGTGGTAAACCCGTACAGGGCGGTTCCTCCGAATGCTGGTCGCCTGACCCGATCCCCTGTTGATCCCTAAGACTGCAAAAATATCGTTAGATCGGCGATCTTGGAAGAGGATCTCTACTTGACTTACGAAGCACTCCGCTGGTGTGATCCCCCAGGCTGGAAACTGTGGTGCAGCTGATGTCCCGCGGAAGGTATCGCGGTCCGGCGGACAGAACGTGGTCCGACATATCCGTCTGGGCAGCTATATTCTGCAGCACAGGATCCGCGGCGGTTCCTGTGCCCAGCAGGGGTCTGTCCTCTGGCAATTTACGGGGCTCCCGCTGCTCCATTTCGTTGAGTCCTGCAGGAGAGCCATAGTTAATGTCCTCCTATCGTTTTCTTGTTGACTTTGTTACCCTTACCCTTGCAAATGTTGGTGAGTATGGCATTCCGCACGTGCTTCACCTTCATGCCTGCCGGCTTGTAAACATTGAGAACGCCACCCAGGTGCTTAAAAACGGTGGCAGCATCGTAGACCTTCGTGAGAGCCATTTATGCTGCGAAATTACATAAAATATGTGATGTGCGATGTTTGTTTTGAAATGAACCGGACAGTGTTGGTCAACGCGCACGCACAGCTGGGCACACTAGCTATGCAGCCCTGGCCAAAACATAGGGGTATTCCCCAAACTGTTGGATGGCTGAATTTTTTAGTTTCGGTCGTTTGTTTTTCAGCTGTTTCAAACAAATTGAATTTTCATAAACCAGTGCACAGTAAAAATTAATTAATTTAAAATCAAATTACGGATCATATTGTCATAGTTTTCCCTAGCTTTTAATTCGTTTTAGGCGGTATAAACTGATATCGATTTGTAGTTCTGAAAATGGAAAATTTAGCAGATAATTCCAATTTAAATGGAGGAATATTTTGTTCAATTAAAATCAGTTTCTAAGATTTCCAAACCAACCGCAAGCGATTTGTGTAACACCCCTGTTGTACTCCTTTGGATTATTTTGTTGTTTTCGGCTTGGTCACACTGTTTGCGCTGCACGTGTAAAATTTGTTTTTCTGAATTTAAAACGCATATTCTGGGCATCACGGTGTGTTAAGATGAAGTGGACTACGGCAAATATAAAGCACGCCAACTACACGGCGCAGCACGAACTGTATGTGGGCACACACACGGGCTCCTTCAAGCGTAAGTCTGTCTGTCTCGGGATCAAGAGCACTGCAATAATATTTGTAACTTTTTCAGACCTGTTGCCCGGATCTGAGAAGTCCCCCCATGGACAAGCCAACCTCAGCGACCTGGGCGCTCTGGACAAAGAATCCCGCGTCACATCGCTGGCCTTTGGCAACGAGGCCCAGACGGAAATCCTACTCGGCCGGGCCAAGAACGACGTGGAGCTGCACTCCTTTGCGCAGGGAGGCGGTTCCAAGAAGACAGTATCCTTTACCGCCGCTCCGATCGTTGGATTGGCACGGTACAATGACAAGCTGATTGCCGGCATTGGCAACGGACAGATTCAGAGCCTTGAGCTGGAGGCGGAGGAGAAAGCGGAGCCCGTGGTCATTAGCACAGGCAACCAAATGGACCATCTGCGCCAGTGCGCGCAGGTCAGGAGCATTGTGGCCACCGGCGGCAAGGAGCGTCAGAACAATCTGAAGGTCTACGACCTGAGCGCCGACGGCAAGCAGATCTTCAGCTCCAAGAACCTGCCGAACGACTATCTGCAGCTGGAGGTGCCCGTCTGGGACAGCGACATCGGCTTTGTGGACGGGCCCAGTGTGCTGGCCACCTGCTCGCGAACCGGCTACGTGCGTCTCTACGATACGCGCAAGCAGCGCCGTCCGGTCGCCTGTTTTGCCAGCGAAGAGCACGGAATGAGCTTTGCTACTTTGGTGGCGAGGGGAAATTTCATCTACACGGGCACCACAATGGGCGCTCTAAAAGCCTTCGACACTCGACGCATGAAAACGCATGTGCATACGTACAAGGGATTCACCGGCGGCATCAGTGATCTTCATCTGGACGTCACTGGCCGGTACCTTGAGCTCCGCTAGTCTCGACCGATATGTTCGCATCCATGACACTGAGTCCACCGTGCTGCTCTACCAATGCTACGTCAAATCGAAGGCCACCAAGATTCTTATTCGTCAGCTGGAGAGTGAGCCACAGGTTGCTGCACAGCCCGAGGATGAAGCAGAGCCAGAAGTCGTTAATAACGTGAAGCAAAACAAGAGCATCAAAGCAACACCTGTGGACAATGAATACGAAGACATGTTCGAGCAGATGCCCACTGTGGGGTAAGTAATTTTACGTTATATATTCGAGATATATATAAACTAAAAGCTCTCCTTTGTTTCCCTGCAGCGACAGTGATAATGAGTCAGAGGAAGAAGAGAAGGCGGCTACCAAACCAATCAAAGGCCAAGCTGAAAAGGAAAAATCCCAGCCAGTCCTTGAAAACGAAAAAAACAAAGTTGTAAATAGTTAAAGCCTCATTTATTTACTTGTTTATAAGTAGCTTAAAGTTAAAAGATAAAATAATAAGGTATTTTAATACATTGCGGTTTATTTTTCTGCCTTGAAAAATCGGTCTTGTAGAGTTGCTGATCTTGAAATATCATCCCGAACAGATTTAGTATATAAACTAAGGGAGACTCACTCTTTAAGTTTTCTGCGCGCAGGAAAAGTCGTAAGATTACTCTTTCAAGCCACGGAACACGACCCAAATTCCTGGGCACGTGAGTATCGTGAATATTTAATGTAAATGATAAATTATGAGCGAACACAGCAGTGAACGACGGTGATGATGTCCCACCCACACAAAAACCACAGCAACCAGAAGACAAGAAATATGGAATGCAGACATGACGAAGCAGCCGTCGAAGAGGATTCGTGACCTCAGCGACCCCCCTCAGCAACAATATGTACGAAGACGGTCCCCTTAACCAGATGTGACAGTGAGCTCAATGAGGTATCGGGCCTGGTGGAAAATTAACAGGTTTTAGCCCACCTCCCCAAGTTGGTATGGTAGCAGTTGGTGTCGTAAGGTGGAACTCCTTAAGGTTGCGACATTATGTGCGGGCGGCTAGCAGACAACTTAGGAATACACATGTAACGTAAAAAGCGCCTAATTTAACTAAAATAAATGCGGTTAACTAAAGTTCACATTTCTCAGAAATCTTATTTTCTGTGACTCGCGATTAAATGTGGCCCTTTATGAAAATCACCATATTCATGAAAGGTAATAATTAATAAGTGTTATATCTTTGAATTTAAAAATGTGGAAAATCTTTAAGATTAGAGGCCAAAGCTAAAGGGGCCGACTGTTTTGTTTAACACTAGCAAAAAATCCACATTTCTTTTGAAAAGATTTAAAACCTGTATCTTTTCTCAAATTTAAGCACTTAAATATTTTGAAATTAAATCAATATTAAATCCAATATTGGTTCATACATTTTTTTTTTCAATAATGAATCCAAGGGTAAGCTTATCTTTTCACTCCAATAATTTTACATGTTTAGAACCACGTCTTTAGTCACATTGTTTTGTCCCAATTTACTCATTGAGCTGCTTGTCTCCAACGACCAAAAACATACCCGAGTATCCTTTAAATAGTCTACTTCCTCAGCCAGGAATTCGTGTGCTTTAAAAACGAGTTGGGAAACTATCTGGCATAGCTCTGTTTGCCAGCTCACCCTTTCTACCCTTCGGCGGGAAGTTTTGCGTGTTCAAATCTTGTGCATCTGGCTCCTAAGCCGGGACAATAAAATTCCGAACTTGTGCTTGCCCAGTATCCAAAAGACCTTACCTCGTAGTTGCTGCCGGGGGAAACAATTTAGAGGAGTTTTTGTAAACTACAGATGGCAGTAAGAGGAGGCCCTCGATTCGTGTTCCTAGTTGTTGACTCAATCGAGTATTTATTGGTGTCCTTCAGCTCATTGTTGTCACTGCTCAATAGTCGAGTGAATTTTAATTAGCCAGCTAGCTGGCCTCTGAATGCTAGCTGATAATTCTTCACCTTAATTAAACCGAATGAGCTGGGAGCAAGTCGAAGAATTTAATATGAACTAGAGACAAGGAAAGAGGAAAACTTTTAATTTCTCTTGGCAACTAGAAGTCTGGAAGTCGGGCAGGCTAATACTGGGACTGAGATACCAGGCAACGCACAGGCGGTTTATATCGCGAACACGCGTCCTGATTCGAGGCAGCCATAAAGGCTGCCGGCAGATAAGGCAGCTACCCCCCTTTAACCCCTGACCTTGTCCTAAACACACACTCCCCAAGAGTGCTGATGCCTCTTAGTAATCTGCCAACATTTCGGGAAATTTGCTAAGCGTGCCGCTGATGCCGATTGAAACCTGGATGTCAGGGAAAAATCTGGCTTTCACCGCCACAATTTTCCAACCTTTCAGATAAAATTTTAATTCCATCTTTCCATTTCCCATCTCCCCCCCTAGAAAACCGTGAGTTTTCCCGCCGTTTTTGTAGTTTCGGTAGCGAGCGAGCAAACTTTTATTTGCCGAAAAATAATTTGGCTCCCAAAGTTGGCGCCTCGCTCTGGTTACCATCGTCGGAAATTTCAGAGCGTGAGCTTTGACAGCCGCCAAAGTTGGTCATCGCTTGACAATGTTTGCAGTTCGGAATTTTTAATGTAGGAGCTAACTTTAGACTCGAGATTACGTTGCAATTTGCAAATAGCTTGTAAATTGGTCTACTGCCAGCAGGGACAAAGGAATTAACTCTGAACTATTTCCCCATAAGGGATGGGACTCTGTTGGTTTAGCATTAGTTTAACAACGTCCTTGAGGCCCATCGAACCCGAGGTGCCCGCCCATCGGCCTAATGGTAAGTCAACCTCGAATCGAATCAATCAAATCAACCCATCCGATGAGCTTCGGGCTTGCTTGTTTATTTGGACAGCACTTGGGCACGTCTTTTGGCTTTGGCATCTCTTGGGCCCCGAGTGTCAGGCTGTCCGCGGCCGTAAAAACGAGCTGCGCCGTTTATTTGCATACACATCGAATGGTGAAAGCCACAACGAGGGCCTTATTACGATTGGAACACAATGAGAAGTGGCCCATAATCGTAAAGAAGGCCAGCAATTCACTGGCTGCTCTTCTGTTTCTGGCACTGGCAGCGGATTCTCCGGGTTCCGGGCTAAGATTTGTATCGCTGGCCAGTTGCCCGACAGCTGGCCAGCTGGAAGAGGAGGAGGATGGAGGAGTATGGCCACAAAGGAGTCCGCCAAGGAGATGTCGGAAATTATGTGCATTGCAGGGGGAGAAATTGAAACGGAAGCCATGGAGCCACGATTCTCCAACAGTTGCTCCAAGGAGCTCCCAGGCCTAGGGCCGCAATCCATCCATAGTTGTTGCCATTACCGAATACTGCTTTAAACTGGGCTGATAGGGGCATTTTTCCTACCACTCGACCGATGATAATGTGCTGGGCACGCCCCCTTTATAAACGGTTTCGTGCCATTGCCAATACCAAATACTTTGCAATGTGGATGTTGGCCAACTCTGAGAGTTCGAAGTCAATTTAGCGGAATGTAGCCAGGACAAAATATGTGATATTCAGTGCTTACCCGTGGGCGGACCTTGAATATTTGTGTTATTTTCCGAGAGGCCAGAAAGTTGGGTGAGTTGCACATGTGCGCTGGCAGAATACTCGACGACTTTAGACTGTCTGCCACTTTGCATTTCTGGCCCAATTGACTTTTAATGGCTCTATGGTCCTGCGAGGCGGCTGGAACAACAAACGGCCTTTCGGAAAGTTTGGGGAAAAGCTAAAAAAGGGTTGCGAAATATTGAAATGGCTTTTGGGTAAGATAAAAAAGAAATCCTCTTATTCAGCCGCCTCCGGTACCGAGCTTTTCTCGAAAGAGAGCCTTTTCTGACTCTGTCTACACCCAGAAAATAAGTGTGGTTTTAAAACGCAAAGAAATTACTTAAGTCAAGGTAATAACATATATGTATGATACACTTAAAACAACAATACCAAATGAACTTCAAGTTAGAGTCAATTTAACTTTAAGTATCAAGGCCAGAAGATCTACGTTTTCAAAATCTTTAAAATTAAGTAGTTTTTTCTGAGTGCAAGAGTTGTTTTGAATGCCTGAAATCAGCTTGAAAGTCTTAAAGTAAAGCCCATTAATGCCAAACAAGCGACAACTTGAAGAGGAGGAGACACGTCTTGACTAATTACTCTTCATTTGATTTCCAATGACGCACGAGAAAGGTGACGAGGGCACAGCTTCGATAAAAAGTGATTTTACTCCTGATAAAAGGAACACTATACCCTTGTGAGGGTATTTCAATTTCAGTGAGATGATTGACATAATAAAAATAATATGCCAATATTTCACTCAATCGTTCCTATGGGAGCTATTTCCATACATGATTTACGTCCGTACACATACCTTTTAAAAGGTATTAAAAAAGACGGAGAGATGAACATGGCCTTATCGACTTCCCTAGTGATCCTGATCAAGAATGTACTTTATAGGGTCGGATAAGTCTCCTTTACTCCGTTACAAACTGAAACAAATTTAAAATTTTCTTGTTCCCACTAATTTAAATAATTTGCATAGATGCTTCTAGGGGAACTTTCGACAGTCTTGACCCACTTGCTTTTCCAGCTTCCTTGTAATTGCTGTTTTTTGCTTAAAACTGTCATTAAATTAAGTGCGTGTTCATTTAAGCCGGCTTTGGGCGGCACATAAGCCTATTATGTGAGTCCCATGTTCGCTTCACGTTCCAAAAAGTAAGCGGGAGGTACGGGGCACATGAATGGTGTTGATTTAATTTTAGTGACGATGCTGAATAAAAGTTCTGTGTACCGTATAAAATATTTACTGCCCAGAAGCCTCAAAACATTTTTTTCTCTATTTATACACATTTCTAAAACTTATAATTTGAAATACAACAAAAGGAAGCCCTTTTTAGGTAATTGATCGAATAAACGATAGGCCTTGCATCTATAATACCCCCATTATCTTTCGCCATATTAATACTTATCCCATATCGAATTCCTCTTTAATCAGGCCCTAGCAAATTTGATTCCAAAATAGTCGTGATGGTGAATTTGCACAAATGAAATTTAATACATGCGAGGTAAATTCAATAAACTTGAAACGGACTGCCGAAAAATAAGAAGACAGCTTCATCTGAAATTCATTATATAATTGCCATGATAAATGGTTCGTGAATTATAAAATTTCAGCTTTGGCTTTATTCTGGCAAATTTAATACCCGAATCGCGGACAATTTATTAGCTCCCAAGAAAATGTAGACCATCAAGCAACCAAAGCCGGAAACAACTTGCTGGCCTTTGGACGTAAACAGACCGGAATGTAAATAAGAATTTAGCCGCAATCAAAACACGAGTCGGCAGTGGACCGTAACCGGGCAGGACGAGTGGCTAGCCTTTCATCCTGTCTGAGACATCTGCTTCCTTATTTTCTTTCTTCTTAATTGGTTTGCAGGACTTAGCAATTAACTACTGGAAATCAGAGCCAAAACGAATATGCCCTGAAATGTTAGCATCTTTCACATGACTATTTACATTGGTCTTCTTGTTTCGACTTTTGGTCTAAAATTGTATATGGTTAAAGTAATGGTTAATGGTTAAATAATAAATAAATTTCAGTTGACTTTTTCGGTTCTGTTAAGTATGTATGTATGAAGAGGGCTGAAGCCATCGAGCACAATAGTAAATCAACTACGTTTTTCATTAGACTTAGCTATGGCCAAGAAGAATTAACCTCTTTACAGGCATTTACATTGCCGTAAGCGCTGTGGTCTAAGGATGTCTTCTTGCCAAGTGTATATAAACACGGTCCAAGAACCGCAGAAGCCTCCTGCGTGTTGGCCCAACATAAAAGGGAAAATTACAGCCAAAACTGGATAAGCAGATGTCCCTCCGCCTGCCCGGGGACATTCGGGATAATGAGGACTTATGAATGCGTGAACACATGAAAGATACGAGTCGAGAAGGTGGAGAGCCAACTAATTGTTAGTTATTTTCGTGCTGTCGATGCTATAAGGGCTGTGCTCCTTTTGGCCCATTCGATAAATCACTTAGAGCCACTTGTGTGCCGGTCCAGGCTCGATCTTATTGGACACTTTCTGTATTTGATAATCGCATTACCAGCTTATGCAACGTACAGAGGCTTCCCACAAATCGAAATATCTGCTCATTTGCATTTGCCAGGTAAGGACATTCAAGAACCACAACACAAATTTGTGGGTTCAACACGTGTATTTGCTTATGTAAGCTAGTTGCTACTTTAAAGGTGCTCCCTAAACATACATAACTTCACTTGAATATACTCTGTTTATGCTATTTGTGTACTTACCGTGCCACTAACTCAATGACTTCCCATCGTAAACTTTCAACTTAACTGGCCCTAACCAGATTCAGCCTGCTCAACCCCAGAACGGCCTACTAACCACTCACTGAATGCGGCGCAGAGTGTAATTAGCTAATTGTGAGATGGACATCGCTGTCCCTGCGAATCAGCACCGCATTCGTGGCGATAGCTTTGAACCTAACTGGCTGTGGGCAACTCAGTTAGGTGGGCATAAATCTGATGCCCTTTGACTGTCGTTGTGCCGGCCGAATAATGCCCCATTTGCCCCAATGATTGCCCACGCTGTTCGAAAATGTTTCCATGTCCGGAATTATCTCCTCGCCCTTTCCAATTCTGATTTAGGGGAGGAGGGGTCGATAGGTCGATCGGCTGCCAGGTCCGCGGATGGACAGGCTCCTTTGCCGCACGGAGGAAACCGAATGCGAATGGAACTTTTTGAGTCCCCCATTTGCTGGATGTCAATAACTATGGACTGGATATTTGTCGGCCATATTGCCCTTGTGGGGACGGGCTGTCCGCAGATAATACATGTGGTGTTTGGCCAATTTACATACACCAACTCCGGTGGCTGTGGCCTCTGACCTCCTGATTGGCATACCATAATGAAATTTTGTGTGTGCTTGGGGCCAGATTGTATTTATTGTATTTTCTGGCCCTGTCCTGCCGATTTCCTTTGTCTAAATAACCAAATTGCTTTGGTCGTGCGAAAGAGTGAGTGGGATAGGTGCAAAGGACCCTGGTGTAGTTGTAGTGTAGTTGTATTGTTCTGTTGGCCCAAACTTCAAAGCAATTTTTCGATTTCAACGTGATAAGGGGTGGCTCGAGCGATGTTCCCAAATAAATTGGAATAACGATATGAGTTAGGGTTACTGCCCGGTTTTTAGAAGGCGTTGCGGGTGCATTCGTTTTCACAAATTGGATATTGGCACAAGCTAAAACATTTCTAAAAATGTTTAAAGTTCGCAAACGAAAAATACATTATCACGGATTTCTTTAAAAACACCTTTAACTTTTGATAAGCTGAAGAAAAAAATGTTGAAAATTATTTATTGCTGCAAAGATAATTCGTACAATAAAACATTATTTTTAAAGTATATTTAGATTGAACAATTTTACTATATTTGTTCTAAAAAATAATAAACAATTGTTGTTCTCTATAATTGTGTGGGCGGGGAAATTTATATAATTCGATAGGCATTTTAGCCACAGACTTTTGCTATTTGTGGGCGTTAGAGTCGTTGTGCCAAACTTTTTAAAGCACTAGTCGCTACTTTATTACTCTTTACTTTTTGGGTAATGGGTTTACAAAAAAGAAAAAGTAAGAAAAATTGAAAGCTTTTATTTCCCTGTTCAAAACATTAAAATGGTTTTCCCTAACTAGAAGCAAACACATTTTTCCCCTACAAAAGATAAAAGTGTTGTTCGCCTATAAAAAAACAATTTGTTTCACATTGAATGGCACATGTTGATTTGGGCTTTTGATAAATATGTAGATCTATTTTACATAAAACTTCGATTTATTTGCGATCCGGTTTTCCATTTACATTTTAAATAACAAATAGAAGCACAATATTAAAATAATATGATTTACGTATTCCACGTGAACTCGACCTTTTGCCGTGGGCAGCTCCCATCTCTTCGGGCCTTTCTTAATCGCAGCCTAAGTTTAGTAACGCATGCGGTCACTTTCGTAACGACTTATATAACTGGAATTTAGATAAAAGTACAATATTACTTGGGAAAATGGCGCTTATATTTGTAAATCAAAGCAGATAATACATTATTTGGTGCAGTAAACCGTATTTACGAACTCTTACCTGGATTTGTTCTGTTTTTATGGTCCAAGCTTTCAATATTTCGACTCTAAAATTACAGACCCATTTAGCACAATATTCAAGCGATTAACATTTATGGAATTCATTTATTTACAGTAATCGTATGCTAAAATCCTTTAAGCCTATTGATATAAGCAATTTCCATATTCGGTAATTAGCTAGGAGTGTGTTTCCATTTTGGTTTCTGTGTTTCGGGTCTGTGGCTTATATAATACTATTTTATTGCACTGGGGGCAGGTAATAACGAGTTACATTTAATGTGCTATGAGAGACTTACTTAATTAACACATAACGTACAATAGAGGTATGGCACACGATAACATTACATAAAATGTGTAGTACTCTTAATGGGTAAAAGTTTGTTGGTAACATACATATGTACAATGACACTGAGTTAGATAGAAGTGCTATTGGTGCCGAAATCGTCCATCCTTTGATGCATTATAGCCCCATTTACCGCGTGGATAGGTGCCATTTGAAATTAGTCCAGCTTCGCACTGACAAACAAATCACTTGGTATTAGAGTGCAGAGTGCGTGATTCAAAGTGCGGGTGGTGCAAGCACAAAGTGAGATCATAGGCCCATTGTCTCCGCTCAGAGCTGCTCGTCGGCCTGCAAGGATACCACCACCTCCTCCTCCTCCCGCAGCTCCACAATGAGCGTGCCTCACCTCTTTTCGCCCACGGCCGCCGATGCCCGACCGCCTGATCCGCAGGCTGCCCCGCCCACCCCAGCTCCAATTCCAGTTCCATGGCCATTTCCATGCTGCAGGGGCATCGAGTCCTGCCGATGGAAGCTGCCCACACGACCGGACCCTCCGCCTCCTCCGTGATTGCTGTTCCTGTGCTGCGAGGCCCGGAGATTGCCAGCTGGCCCACAGCCAACTGCTCCTCCCACGTAGGTGGAGCGACGCATCGACATCACGCTGGTATTGTCCATCATCCCCGTGGCCGTGGAGTGCTGCCGCAGGTGGGGCTGCCGCTTCACGCAGATGCAGCACAGGTAGCGGTTGAAGTGCTGCCGGAATACCCCGGATACACAGTAGAGGGCCACCGGGTTCACGCACGAATTAAGGAAGCTGCAAATCGAAAAAGCACAGCCAGTTTAGTGCCAATCAACGATGCGAAATTCGGCTTTCCAGAAAAAACTTAACACCCTTTTTCAATTTCAAAGGGAATTCGAAAGGAAAGCCAGAGAAAAAGTTATAGTATAGTGCCACGACTATCAGATACCCGTTACTCAGCTAAATAGAGTGCAAGGAGAATGGTTATCAGCAAGCAAAGAAAACTACCGCCACCTATCGGTGATCTTATTATGTACTCATAACTTTTTTATGAATATTGGATTTTTAAAGACAATTTTTTAATTTGATCGGTGATAAAATTAACCAAATGGAAGAAATTTTAATTTTAAATTTTCAATAGATTTAACTATAAAAACGTTGGTATTATCACAATTTAAAGGGTTGTCAATGTGTCTTTGGTTTAAAAAGATTTCTGTGACACTCCCGATTAATGTATTTAATAAATTAATGCAATGCATTTTTTTGTAAAACGTGTACTACCATCCGAATTTCATTGACTCTCGATGTTATTGATCCTTTCCCCAGATATCTGCTCTATGTTGCGACACTATATTGGGTTTTATTTCCACCCACTTGCGCAGAATGCAAATTGCTTTTAGTCCCGCCGCTCGGCAGCGAAATATTCCACCAAATTGCTGACACATTATTTTTCGAGTTTTACTGCGCTAAGTGACGCCCAAATTGGTTGACGGTGGTAGGGGGTAAATTGTGAGGGGGCGGGCTGTCAACAAAAATAAATGTACTGGTAAAGGGAAAGGATGCGGGGTGTGGTGGCAGCTTAATCTGTTTCAATTAAAAATTATGCCAAAAGCCGGTGCCAGGGGCAATGCAGCGAAAATGAGTGCATAAAACTTTAAAGAAGAGTGGCCCAAAAACAACCATATGCAATCTACCCCACAACTCTTCTCCTCCTTGCCTTCAGTCTGGCCATAAATTTTGAACCCCTCAAGGAATGCTTGGATGGCAAGTGCAAGCAGGGGATCAAGAAAAATGTCCCTCTGAAGAGGGTAAGTGGTGAATAAGAGCCACCGAAAACTGCTGAAAACGCTCGACGCCACTCCACTGCTCTTCACTTCACTCCACTCACCTCGTGCAGAATCCCACGATGCGCAGCACGTTCCAGAAGTCATCGAAGTCCTCCTCCGCCGTGGGATAGAAGTGGTACCACAGCTCGAACACGTGGTACGGGAAGAAGCAGATGAAGAAGACTGGAAAGACAACCCACAGCCAATTAGAGTGTCCATGCGGGATTCAGGATGCGGGATTTAGGATGCAGGATGCAGGATGCAGGATGCAGGATGCAGAATGCAGAATGCGATGACTTACCCACCACGAAGGCCACCACCATCCTGGCCACATGACGACGTGCCCTGGCCTGGGTGCGACTCTGCATGCTCTGCTGCTCGCCGGGCATGTTGCGGGCACTCATGTGGAGCCGCTTGGCCATCATGATGTAGAGTGCCCCGATGATGGACAGCGGCAGCAGGTAGTAGATAAGCGCCTTGGCCGCCACCATGAACCTGAAAGGAAGTCATTTTGGTTTAGGACTTAAAAGGTCGCGATTTTCCATTTCCAATTTTCGCTCAAAATACATAAGAGGATTCGGCGATTTCCCTTGAATATTCGAGAGGCTTGACCTACTATTAAAAATACTATGAAAATGGCCCACATTAAATTGCGTCTCTGCGAGGAATGATGACCATAAAAGTCCAAGGGAAGGACTTACGACTTACCAGCTCTGAAATTCAGAGACTGAATCCCATTTTCTCTCCCTTGTGCGGCTCTTAATGTGGTCGAAACACATGCCACCAAGTGGTATAAAAATAAAGCATGTCGGCATGCCTTAAATGAAAAATTAGCGACCAGTTGAGGGGCGTTACTACGGCTGTTCGGGAGGGTCCCCCATCGAAGGATCTGTGTAAATTACATCACAAGCAGATTATGTGGCAACAGCTGACGCCAACCGCACGAAAGGATTTCCAACTTGCGAGCAGCGTTACGTTACGTTGATGGGAAAAGGAATTAAGCTCAACTGGTCGGGGCTTGGGAGCTTAAGCACGTCAATAAGGAGTCACGGCATCTGGACGGAGCGGTACTAGGTGGAGTAAAGTGAAAGCAGGTGAAAGCTGCTGCATCAGATGGTGCGAAAGACAGCTGTGTAGGTGTGGGTGCATTACGGATTAATGCTGTCTGATGGGTAAAGAGGCCCACTCAAAGAACCTGCGGTTAGGTAAGAATATTCAATATTCCTTTGCATCGTTTCTGGCTCATTGAACAACAGGCCCATTATGGCTTACAACTTATATTTTTGGATCTGGTCACACTAATGTCAATAAACTCACTTCGCATACTCCCGGTCGCGGAATGGAGAGCACACTTCGATGGTTATATTGCCCATCGGCGTGGCCACGGGGTAGGACTTGATGTCGGAGAACAGGACCGAAGGCATGCCCAGTAAGATGGCCAAGATCCAGATGATCACCGCCGTGAAGACGGTGAGCGGCTTGGTCTGTTCGAAAGGGAGAAATGCGGTTAGTCCATCTGAGGATATAGGTAATCGCCCCCCACTCACCTGCAGCTTGCGTAGGGGATTCACAATGGCGCAGTACCGCTCCCCGGAGAGGGCGGTCAGTGTGAACACCGAGACTCCGATGGAGATGTCCTTGAAGAACTCACTGATGCGACACATGTTCCGTTCGAAGGGCCAGCTCTCCTGCGTGTAGACAATCGTGGCCACGGGCACGCACACCAGGATGACCAGCAGATCGGCCAGGGCCAGTGACAGGATGTAGCTGAAAGTATGTGAAATCGGTAAGGGGTTAAGGGTCAGGGGTTACTCTCTTTCCAGACAAATCTGTCCCTAACCCGGTCGCATGCTCACCCACTCGGAACGAGATCTCGTTTGGAATGGAATGCCTTTATTGTTGTCAAGGACAAGTCGAAAACCTTTCGAGAAGGTCCTGAAGCGCACATTCTTACTTCCATTCCTCTCAAGTCAAGAGTCCCAACCCATTTCAGACTGATTGCCGAGCGGGGCAGAGTAAAGGGGACGATTGAGAGCAAATCGGCTTGACATTGACACACCAACGACCTCTGGTGAACCAGTCGGGAACGGGAACTTGAGCCCTCGGACGGGGGAATCATTAGAGCTGCTGGATTTGGCTGATTGCATGTGAATGGATTCCAACCTGACACGTTCCCAACCATCCTGTCTAGACAAACAGTCGCCAACTTTGCCATCGATGGCAGGACGATTACGTTAGCAATCACAATTACTGCCCTCTACAATCAGCCAGTTCAACTGAAAGTGTAGAAAGTGGCAATTTGCGGGCAATCAGTGCGAAGTTATGACCACCTGCAGCTCTTAGTTTGTCCAAAAACGGTGGGGTTTGTCCCATGCGAGGGTTTCAATTTAATGTCAACCGAAAGGGCGACTGAAAGGGCTTCCCCATCCTCATCTTCAACTCCTGCTGTCACGCCAGGCTCCTTGGCTCCCAGAAACTTTTGATTGAATCTACATTTGAATTATTCGAATTTCGCCACTTACAAGACTGCACAACTTTGAAAAGTTAATAAACATTTGCATAGCAGTCGCCGAGTTCCAGAGTTCCAGAGTTACCCAGCCAGCTGTCGTAGTTTTCGTGTCGCAGAATAAAAAAAATAGAACCAAGTCTGGAGAACAGCTTGAAAATCGGATTTGTAGGGCACACATTGCGCATAAGGCGGCATACTTTAAAAGTGTCTGAACATTTATGTAGCTAGACAAAGAGTTTGCCTTCTATGGGTCAAATAGCGGTCCGTGGCGAATGGAAAACGAATAAATTTGGGAATTGATTCAAATTTTGAAGAACTATAAACCGCTTTTTGTTCCCAGGCGGCACCCTTTTGTATTCCAAAATCGCAGCCAACAGATGGCTTGACATCGTTTTAGGCGTTCAAGGAGTTAACATCCATTTTTTAATTAACTTATCTGTCAAGGACATAGCATCCCTCTTTAACAATAAAATCAAATGCCCACCATAAGACAGCCCATGAATTTTGAGTAGCAATTTCCGACATTTTTCGCGGAGTGACGAGCTCATTTTGGGTCCAAATGTGCGGCCATATAAAGGCATTATTATTTATGGGCTTCCCGCCCCCGAAGAACCAGACCGTATCAAAGCGGAAGGCCGTCAATAAATATTATTCCAGGGAGCCCACCCTCTGGGGAAACCCAACTGGGAGCCCTATATCCACTTACGTGTTGGGTATGTTGCGCATGGAGCGGTGGCGAAAGAAGATGATGACCAGCGTGCCGTTGCCCAGGACGCCGACAATGAAGATGAGCGTGTACAGCACGGTGACAATGTATGTCTCCGGGCGGTCCAGCACGGGCACATACGGCACTATTCCGCCATCGGCGCTGGCATTGTGACCGGTCTCCAAGTCCAGACCCTGCCCCTCCTGCGTTGCCAGGAGGCCGCTCTCGTTGCCACCGCCTTCCGCCAGACTGGCTGCCAACGTCTGGCCCACGTCCATTAGGGCGGCGTACATGTTGAGGAGGGGGAGTGGCTCTGCCTGATGTCTCGATTGCTGTTTCTATGCGTGCCGTTTTATGGCCTCGCTTTTGGCCACTTCCGTTTCTGCTGCGTCCGGCGAAAGCCCAAAGACCGCAGGTTCTGTGCTTATGTTGCTGCTGGTGCTACTGGTGCTGCCACAGGTCCGTGTTTTATTTTGCACATTGTGTTTGGCCGTGACCACTGAGCTCGTTGCTGGCTGACTTTCGCCAGTTGTCGCCGGAAGCTGGGAAAGCTGGGGAATCTGTGGAGAAAAGAGAGAGAGAGAGGAGCTCCATCAGTTTGGACTAATTCAGTGTTGCCTGCGGCTTGAACAACTTTAATCGGTGCGTGCATTTGCCTGGCCATAAAGCAGAAGCTGCGGCTTATCTAGACAGGCGAATGCATTACCTACGAGCCGCATAAATAACACGCATACGCAGCGTGTGCATCGGGGCGCGTGGATAGAATTTATGATACGACATCTGAGCCCAGGCGATTGTCGTGTGCAGTGCAGTGTTGTGTGCATATCTGCATAATAAAGAATCTCCTTAACATGCAATCGCTGACCATGTTTGCATTTAACACGAATTTACAACGCCCATAATCATAAATTTCGAAATATTCCCCCCAAGTGCTTACTCCTATCTGCCTTTCTTTCGAACATCCAATTACTTCTGGCCTCCGTTCTTACCCCACGGCTGTGATTATCTTCCACGCTCAGTTGTTCAGCGGAAGTTTCCGGACCCCCACGCAAACTAATGCGAAATCATTCGTGTAGAAGAAAATGCTTTCGAGTCACAATCAAATGCGTTTATCCCCTAAAAAGAAGAAAGGCTCACAACTGGCGCCCAACTAAGACTGGCAGAGAAAATGACTCCTTGCCCGAGACAGATCCGCATTCTAAGGCGGGTTTATCCCGACTGCTGTCAGCTTGCGAGGGTGCCGATGCTCCGCTGATGTTGTTTCAATTTCAATTTCGATGCTAGATTGCCCCAGCTATCGTTGCCATTTGGCTGGCTGCTGTTGATTTCGTTTCCGTTATTTATTTATTTTGATTGCGGCCTACGAGTGCGTGGGTCTCCCCATTTGCCAAATGAAATTCCATCAGAATCCGGCTCGTGAGACCATTTCCGGAAAATCGAATCAACCGGGCATTCGGGGCAAGTGCATTCCCAGGAGCTGCCTTGACTCAGGCGCTACGATGCATTTACGCGACAGTGAAATCAATTATTTACGGAGAAACATGTTGGCAATGAAGACAAGTTTAATTAATGAAATCCATTGTTGTCTCGTCCAGAGGTAAATTGTTCTGCCCACTTTGAAGTCCTATAAAAGGCAATATACAAGAACATATGCTTGGCCCTTATAAGCGGGTTTGACCCAAGGCCTCTCATTAATGACCTCCCAACCCCCAGCCGAAATGGCTGCCAATCTGTCTCAGTGAAGCTGGGGTAATTGTTGGCAAATGGAACTCTCTTGGCCAGGCTTAATAGTCCTCACAAATGTGTTGATAAAAGGAATGGGTATAAATAAAATTTCACACATAGTCAAGCACATGTAATCGCTGGGGTCATGACTTTTTATGATTTCGGGCTTCCTTTGTTAACGGGGCTTAACCTGAAAAACGGTCGCCATTCAAAAGGAATCGGTCGGTGTACATTTTCTGGTGTGCGTTTGAAAGTCTTCCCTTTTTGTGTACCGAATCAACTTGTCCCTTATAAATTCACTCCGCTAGTCAATTATTTATGCCACTAAAAAAAACTGTCCGAAAAACGTCAAATAGCTGCTGGCAACAAGAAAAAATACATCAGTCTTTTTCGCTCAAAATCAGGAAACTTTTTTTGGCACGGCGAAAACTTTAGAATAAGTTCTTTTCATGGGCGAAAGTGGAAAAGTTAAAGTTTCCGCTTAGTCCGAGCCCGCGGTGCCCGCATGCAATCTACTTTAAGAGGCTGTCCCAGGGGATCGCTGGACAGGCAATAGGCATCATCGGTGCCATCAACAAGAGAAATGATTAAACTTGACCGACCAGACACGCCCCGGAGTGAAGACGATTGACCTCAATCAATTAAATTGAATTTTTATATTTTCTTCATTAGTTTCAGTAGAGTCTCCACCACTTTTGCTCTTTAAGCGTGTAAAAAATTTGGAGGTGCGACTGTAAAACGCATCTGTTCTGAGCGGCGGTCTAGGTAAAAACATTTATTTATGATTTAGGTTTCGCGTACGAGCTGAATTCGGTGTGTGCTAGATAAAAGCCAGCAGTCAGGCAATTTCAAACGTCGGGACACGAGCAAAAGAAGTGTTTGCCCCCCGCAGAAAATGTCTAACAGGGGATAACTTGGGTCTCCCGCGGAGAACCACCGCCTAGCCCAAGACAAAGTCAGATATTATCACTATGGACGGCAGTCCATGTAGTGACGAAGCGCACCAGGAGAGTGTGCGAAGGCGACTACTATATATACACGAAGAAATGAAAATCTACTGTGATGGTCCGATCATAATGAATGATACACCTATCGAAAGGTATTGCGAAAACTAACAGGATTGCATACCAAGACTTTAAGAAAATCAATTGGCTTGGGAGGAGAGCGGTGAAAGTAAAAAGTGAAAATTTCGAAATTTGGAGCTGTTGGGGCCGGTGGGGATAAATGCCCCTCGCAATGTTTTAGTAGTTTTCTATTGAAAATTCCCGTCGAATGAGGGGTCATATGATAAAATCCGATGCTCCGTTCAAAAGTTATAACCAAAATAAGATTTTCTTCTTCTTCCCAAAATGAAATAATTTGTCCCTTTGTTTGTGGGTATGCATCAAATCGTGGTTTTAGGATCCTGAACTAAATTTTACTGTGCTTAGCAGCAGGATATGAACAACGTTTGTTCTACAACTTTGGAAAAACCCGCTAGTTTGGCGGGAAATCATTGAAAAAAGCTAGATTTTGACGGCTTATAGTTTCTAAACGACCAAAGCTACAGACTCGTGCTATACCTCGTTTAAAAGGTAATTTAAAATGCTAATCGCGTTGCCTTGGGTAAAATTGGCTTAATGCAATAGTTTAAAATTTATGGCTAAAAGTTGTTTTTTTAAATCACTTTTTAGCTATTTTCTCAAAAACGGCTCTAACGATTTTCTTTACAACTTTAAACTGTATAGCCCTTGAGATTCCTTAAATTTTGGTATATAACACATTACTGTAAAAAGTCACGTTTAAAAGTTATTTTTATACGAAAATAGCCACTTTTGCCAGCTCGAACAACTAAAGCTTCCTGAGTATTGAATTTTGTGTGAGGGTATACGAACAGTATTTTGGGGTCATGGAATCAGTAAATTTGCACTTAAGAGTTCCATATAGGAATCTTTTGTTCTACGATTTTTGGAAAAAGCCGCTACTTTAGCGGGAAAAAAGCTAAAAATAGCTAAATTTCGTTAGTTTTTAAGTTCTACACTACTAAAGGTACAGAAATGTGCTATACCTCGTTTTAAAGGTATTTTGAAATACTTAAACGCCTTTTTAACTTAATTTGTTTAAATACAATGGCTTACAAATTATGATTGACCAATTTAAATTTAAATGTATATACTAGCCCCATGAGAGCAAATGTAAACAAACAAAAACTTCTGATATCAAATAAAAACACCTCTTAACGAGGTAAAAACTAGTGACGACCGCACCTTCAACATACAAAAGTCTGATATCAACATTTGTGACGAAAAATTATTACACTCGTCATTAAATAGACTTTCTAATATTTTCTCATTCGGCACGCTGCAATAGAAAATGCCTGTGAAGGAAAAAGGCTGGAATAGTTTGCTAGGGCGGGCCGAATGAGAAAATATTAGAAAGTCTATTTAATGACGAGTGTAATAATTTTTCGTCACAAATGTTGATATCAGAACTTTTGTATGTTGAAGGTGCGGTCGTCACTAGTTTTTTACCTCGTTAAGAGGTGTTTTTATTTGATAGGTTATAACCAGCGATGTATTACTTCCTTCACGGCACAGTGGTATCCTTTTAAATATATAGGTAGGTAGGTGGCAAAGAAATATTTCAAAAATAAAATATTTTCATTGTTAAAGTCAGTGTTTTCAGATTGTTTTGGATGTTAAAATAAGCAACATTAAATTTCCACATGCAGCATATACATATAGATTTTCGAATTGGTTGAAAAGAATATGATATTACTTATTACATATTTTTTCTCCCTTTTCAATCCTCTTAATTTCCGTTTGGGGTTTTTAATCTCAAATGTTACTGATATTTCCCACCGTATATGTAGCCGCAGAACAGACTGTAAGTCGTTTCGGAATGCGTATTACGTGTTAAATAAATCATATAGCAAAAATAATTTAATACACTTGCGTGCTTCGGTTGTAGCTGAGGCAACGCGGCGTATGTGCAATGCGGCATGTCGGTTAATCATTCGCCGTGTCTTGTGAGCAGCCAAGCCGAATAATAAGCCTAGCAGGAGCAGCAATCTTAAAGCCGTACTCGGCGCGCTTTAAGGTTGAAGTCAGAACCCATCATAGAGGAGGCCCCGGGCTAACGGCAACTCATTATGCTCCATGCAGCTCTAATTAGAGCCAAAAATATCCGGGGTGCCTGGAGGACCTCCAACGCAGGCCTTGGACATATTTAATGTGCCCTGAAAGGTCCGCGAGTTATGCAAATTGGGTCCAGGCCATTCAAGGCGACAGACATTGACGAAATTATGCGCAATCGCTGCTCGACCTCTTATAATTCCCCGCCTCGCCTGCAGGCCCAGTCATTAGTCGCCATTGAAGATGATTGAATGCGGGACACGCTCTTGCATTTTAGGCAGCCGATATGCCGAGGGCCAAGTCAAGTTGCCCTTGAGTTAGGTGGCATTCGGGGAAATTGCCAAGCACACACTCTTAAAATTTCGATTGGTAAACTTTTCTAGTAGTCCTAAAAGATTCCCTTGAAATCGCTCTCAAGCGTCACAGTGAAATTTTCAGTATGTCCAAGAGGGTGAGCATCATGCTGCCCGAGGAAATGCCGGCGACTCCCTCAGGCAGCAGCAAGAACCCGATGATGACCAACCGCACGGTCAGGAGTTCCATCAAAAACAGCTCTAGTAAGCGCACGGAACTCGTACCGCCCGTTTTTGTGGTCGTCAGTCCGCAGACCAGTCAAAGTTCGATGACTTCCGGAATGCGGGAGAGTACCAGCACAAATAGCCGTAGTTCTCTCAGTCAATCGTTTAAGGAGAACTTGGAGGAGGGTTCACCCGAAGAAACCAGCCCCTTGGCCCAAAGTGGTTCAAACAACTCCCAGGAATCGACCACCGCTTCGATCAGGCAGTTCCTCCGCAGCACAGTCGCTCTGGTTCGCGCCGGCGAATCCTTCACCTCCGTGAAGCGCCTTTTCCAAAAGTTTATCAAAAATAGCGCCTCTATCTCGCAATCCAAGCCCTCGGAGGTATCCCCAGATTCCTCCGCCTCCCAGGTGGCAAGTGGGGAGAATCCCTATCTCAGCAAGTCCAACGATACGCTGATCACCGATTCTCCGGCCCAGTTTACCGTTCCCAGCACCTCGCAGATGACGCCCACCGCTCTCCGCTCCAATCAGTCGCTCAATAACGCCAACTACGACCTCACCAGCCTGCTCTCGGACATTACACCCCTCACGGGCTACTCAACCAGGACGGAGGCGGGATATCGAACCGATACTTCCGAGCCACCCTCTGGAATCCCACCATCCCGCAGTCGCTCCAAGTCGAGGAGTCGCACTGCTCTTAAATTCAAGGCATCTTCTGGTCCGATTTCAAGAACCCGCTCTTCTAGTAGATCATCTCCCCGCAAGAAACTGAGTTCACCCAGAAGATCACCCCGGCTGTCACCCCGGAACATTAAGAATGCACCCTTGGAACCTGCATTTGCCTTGGTCAGCTCCTCCTCTGCTCGGAACTCCGAGGGATCGCGGTTATCGAGAAGCAGCCAGGGGTCATCATCCAAAGTGACGGCCAGGAACTTGACCCAGTCAAAGAAGAGCTCACCACGCCCCAGTACCTCCAGAAGTTCCCGTCGTGGCTCAAGATCCCGCTCAAGATCCCAAAGCAGCGCGAAGAGCGAGCTGCCACCCGATCCCTTCGCTCTGCTCAGTCCCGAGGAGGCGGAGCCAAATAGCCAGCCAGGTGGGAGCAATGTCGAGGATGGTTCCACCAGCTGTAGGACTTACGAGGAGGAGTGCAAGTGTCACCACTGCCAGGATATGCGGAGGGCTGTGAAGAGGGTGGAGTTCTTCCAGTCGCCCGAGGGGCAGAAACGACTGGAGGCCAAGCTGCTGGCCAAGAACTTCTTCATGGATCTCTGCGCCCTCTCAGCAGTGCGTGGCCAGATTAAAGCCGATCTGCACGGGAAACGCCGGCATCCCTCGGCGCGCCTGAGTTACCCGGTGAGCATCTGCGGGGCCACGCGACTGGACGGGGGATCCCTATCCCTCAAGTGGTTCACCCACGACCTGGACAGCGTGGACCACTTCGAGATCTTCGTGGACAACAAGCCCAGTAGGAGTGTGTACAACCGGCAGGCCACTTCCACCGTCCTCGTGGATGTGGATGCTACTAGCACACACAAGTTGCGGTTGAAAGCGGTGCCGCAGCGAGGAAGCGCTGGCCGGGATTCCTCGGTGGACCGGTTCATGTCCGAGGTGGCAGCCGGTCACATGCGGCATGTGAGGCAGGGCGAGCTCTTTGCCAGATGCCTTGAGCACTTGGACTCCCTGCCGCAACAGCGAACCCTGGTGGACTTCTGGAGGGACAGCGAGTTCCTCTACCTGCCCACTCAGACCCGCTGCTGACTGGGCAAAATAAACTGATTTATGTTTATAAGCGGCAGCACAGCTGTGTGGGCAGTAATTGATTACGTTAATTTCGGCATGCTGCTGACTAATCGGCGGACAAGGCACTTAATGCAGAATCAACCTACACCTGCAGCATTTTTCGGGGGGAACCGAGGAACTCCCGACCCTGAAGAGGGGCCATCCGTCAGCGAGGCGTGTAGACAACTTCAGCTGTCGGCGTTATTTAAAAATTTATCGTAATCTGGGCAGCAGCCGTCGTCGTCGTCGGTCGTCCTGCGATGATGAAGCTGTGTGCCTTTATCAGTGGCCCCGCAGGCAATGGAATTCTCTGGTCGGGGACTGCCTACCGACTGACGCAGGCGTTTCGCGAGCAGATCTGTCAGAGATTTCTGGGGCCGCAAAGTGGCATGATTAATTATTTGGCAAATATTTGAGATGCCTCCCGCTACTCAGCTGGCATGGCCATGGAAATGAGTGAAAATCAAAAAAACAAGAATGAAAATATATGCGTACTCGCACTTTTTTGGGGGGAGGAAGTGCGGCCGAGGAAACCCAAACCGTTCGAGTATTTTAATTAATTTTCACTTTCGTTCGACTAGTGAGCATTCCATCGGCCATGTGATGGACAGCTGGGCCAAGAGCTGGTCCCTCTCCCCTTCACAATCTACCATCCCCCAAATTCACGACCCAGTGACTCTATTCTGATTGAGGCTTTTGGCTCTTACCTCTTGGCTTTTGCTTTGTTTTGGTTTCCATTGGCGCGTGATTGCGCTCGAAATAAACAAGAAGTACTTCATTTCCGAATATTTTCATTATTTGGATAATTTTCAATTATCGCCGATATTTCCCGCAGTCAGCAGTTCATTTTTTCATCCCTCCGCCGTAGAACGGTGCTATACATGCGGCCACGCGGCGGATACACAATTTTTTATAGTCGCATCTCGCGGCGCACTTTCAATTACTTTTTATTATCATGGCCCATGTTTCCCCCTCAACGCGGTTTTATGTGCTGCAAGCAGTTGGCCAAATATTTTAATTGATTTCATGTGGTCGACGCCAGCCATTTGGCCAGGACTCCTCCGCCCGATCGGAATATAGTGTTTTGTAAATATTTGCCTTCTCGCCTAGACACGTCCATGTCCATACCCGCGAATTGTTTACGATAGACTGTTTATGGAAAATTGCCTTGCTTAATGTCAGATCTTCTAATGGTCATGATGCTGCAGACGATCAATGTTCGGCGGCGGACTTGAACTTTCGATTGATTCGAAATGTTTATGGGCAATCATCTTAAAGATGGATTTCTTCGGAAATCGATGGTAGAGAACTTTAAGCCAGTTCTTTAGGGTGGTTATCCTTGGCCACTGATAATTTGCACACTTCTTGCACAACTTTTGAACTGGAATGGCACCTCTTGTTCCCGACACTCACTCGAAAATTCATTACAAATTGATTAACCATGACAAGTTGCGCCCCTGGGAGCCATGTATCACAGAATGTTTTTCGTATTTTCTGTGGCTCCTTCCTTTGGCTTTCCACAGCCTCTGAAGGCCACACGCACACACACATTAAGTGTATGCCAATTCCTGAGGCATTGAATTTTCGCGATAATGTAAAAAACAATGGCAGCCCCACTGACAGGACGAAAATGTAAACATGACAGGAAATTTCGTGGAAAGAATATTTGACAGGAGCTGAGAAACCTAAGCTAGAGTTTTAGGTTTTTCTGTTATTGTTTTCGGAGAAATCTATTTGTGATTTGTGAAAAGTAAAATATTGTGTCGAAAAGATAACAACTTTAATTGTTCCAAAAATATAAACTCATATTTCTCCGAATGATTATTCGCGTTGAACTTCGTACGTAAAATAATATTATATTCTACCAAATATATACTCATCTGTGGGTATTCGACTATGGCCCAGTTTCTCTTCCCTTTGTTAAATTTAAAGTAGGAAAACCCAACGTTGACATCGTATAGGAAATAACAGTTTAAACTTTAAAGCATCCTTTAAATTTAACAAGCGGGCGATAAAACTACCCTTAGCATTTTGTTTGTTGAGTGTGCGATAGTGATGACCTGTTTACCTCTTTAAGATTTACTTAACTTAAAAATGGGACTGTGCTCTAATAAATCATAAGTAATTATCAGTGTAGACAGTTAAATGGGGAAGACTACTTATACAATTATTTAAAAAAAAGAAATAAATCAAAATTCCAACAAAGGCAATATATTAGGAATATTTGAATACCGGAAAAAAATAAACTCAGTAATTGTATAATTTGCCTGGTAGAGCAAAACATATGGCTATCCTATCATCGATGTGCTTACACTTACAGTCGAAAAGAAATTCGATTCGGGGACGCAGTGGGCTTTCATTTTGCGGCTTAGTTAGCTAAAGGCAATTTTGGTTAGCCCAAAATAAATTAAATCCCAGATGAATGAGAAGGCCAGTGGGTCAGTGGGGAAATGAAAACACTTTTCGCAACGCTTAATGGAAAACTAAGTAAGCCCACACAATGGGGGCCCGTGGTCACCTCCATTGAATTTGAATCGGAATCTTTATGCAAATTAATCATTTGTTCTTTTATTTGATTCTTTCCCTTTGCATTTCCCCTGCAATCGCATTACTTGCCAGCTGAAAAGGGAATGGCAAGCACACAATGTTGCCTTGAAAAGAGGTGGAGCCGATGTGTGGAACACGAAAGGGAATAAAAGATACAAGATACAAACGTCTTTCTTTAACAGCTCCTTGGGATTATTTATGGCATTCTGTGGTTCTTGTCCGGTCAACCAAGGAGGGATTTGCAGGGGGGAGTGACACGGAGAACGATTTTATGATAAATGACTGCAGTCCATCTTCGGGAAAAAGGGGGAAAACGAATGGGGTTCGAACTCGGACAGTGAAGCAGTAAAGAGGAACTCTGATTTCCACCTGACCTGGGCAAATAAGAGATGGGCTACCCCCTCTTTTCCCTTCCTAAGAAGTAACTTTCTCTGTTTGATTAATTTTCGGCTTGCAGTCAATCAAAAATTCATCATCATCGTTCTTCAACTAGCTTTGCTTTCGATGTGACAACATTAGCAAAAACATTCAAAGTCCCGAAGTAAATTAGGGCCTTCAATAAATCATTGGACCGCCGCAGATTCGGTCGAAATTTATAGCATTAGTAGACCGCAGACGATGATTGCCGAGCAGTCAGGCTATCATTTATCAAGCGGTTGAAATCGGGGTAGAGCGAGAATCGCGGGAAATGAGTAATATCTTCTTAGGCGACAGGTGAGTCCTGTCACCGGTGCAAAAAGACGAGCTAAAGGATTCTGCCTTCATCGAGCATGTGTCGAGTGTCGGGAATTGACGGCTCCTCTGATGGAATCGTTCCCACGCTCATCTGCTTCACTTATTCAATATCCTATTTATGGCGTGCCTCGTTCACCATCTGCACGGCTGACTGGAGCGGTAATTGAATTCCATTCTGCGTCAGCGTGCTGCATCCAAAGGACACTCGCAGACAGCTGTCAGAGATTTGCACCAAGGACAAAACCAGTGGGAATGGAGACCAGGATAACCACCGATAACAGCTGCGTTGGGCCACAAGAAATATTAACTAATTAAGAGTCCGAGATTCGTGCGCTAAAGGTGAGCCGAGCTAATGACCGCTTTATGGAATTCATTTACGTAATGGATGAGGCGAGTGGCGCTGTTGCATATTCATCAGTTAATAGGCGTCGACTAGCGGCGCCCAGCGCCCAGAACGTCAGCCTAATTATGCTCGACCAGGGAGCTCATCTTCGCCGCAATCCGCAACTCGCAATCCGAGCAGCAGCCCGTTTCCTGGGCCTCCGCTGCCTGGTGGCCATTAATAACCAGCGCCGACATTAATCAGTTTTATATGTCAAATTAATTTCTCGTGCTTTCTGCAGCAAAAAGAAATATCTATAAGCCAAGGGAATTTTTTTTAAGTTTTAAAGTCGTCGTCGATGGCTGGAGACAATGTATTTGAATAAGAAAATGGCAAATTACAAAAATAATGCGAAACGCCCCATTTAAGAAAGCGCATTCGTGGAAGCGGCATTAAAGGAAACTTGTCATTCAGTTTTAAGGGCTTAGTTTCGGAAGCGAAACGGAATCGCAGCACAAAACTCAATAAGAAGCTTGGAATGTTGCCGGCATTTAATGTTCTCATCAATAAATTACGGAGCAACGAATGGAAGGAAGAGGGGCCTTTAAGCCAGCCGGCAATTTGGATCCCCGAGAAACCCATAAATGGCTGTGTATACACATAAATATCAATTTCGAGGGGTCGCTTTGACATTGCTCGCAAATAAAATATAATTTATTATTACTTACTCGGCGTGAGATTGAAAATCGAAGAAATCGACTGCCAACACCTGATAGAGCCTTGTATAGGTATTTATGGCATTTTACCAGCCTCCCCACACTCTTCCCGCAATTTGTAGGCAATTAAATTGTAAGAATTAAATGGGAAAAGTTCAAATAACTTGTACTCGGAGCCACAACAGAGACAAACTACCCGTGGTAACTGCCGAGTGCCGCGGGGCGCGAAAAGTTGCCATGGAAATTGTCGCCACATATTGCTACTAAAAATTCCGACATTCCGACATTAATGGCTGGGCTCGGAAATCAAAGAAACTTTATCCATTAGCTCGAAAGTCAACACTGGACCTCTGGCAAACCGCTGACATAATAAATCCCCCTGTTATCCAGCCTTCAAACTCCGATTTTTCCGCTTGCAGCCCTGCATCCTCTGTCGTCTGCATCGTGTAATCCATTTGCATCAACAAAGTCCCACTCAATCATCGCAGTGCCAAAGGAAACCATAATATTTGCATCTGTCATCACAGAGGATGCGGTGTGCAGTATGTGACAACTGCCGGGGGCAGCTTTAAAGTCCGACAGGGTTTTTCAGAATCGATCCACCCACCCGGTTTTATTACGAATATGAGAAAATGTGCCACACACACGGGTACTAACCCCAAAATCATAATCAAATGATAGTCAAGTGCAGGCGGTGAATAAATGTGGCCCTGCGGGCAAATTACGCACACGCGTTTTGTGCGCCGTTTCGAATTTTCGAATTTTGTTAACCGCAAAACTTTTCTGGCACCGAAAATGGCGCGGTTGGCGGAGAGCGATTGAAGATGAAAAGGGTTGCGGCGACACCTGTGGACTAGGGGGTAGCAGAGGGGAATATCAGCTAGTCGAGCTCTTCACCTTAAGCTAAACTTTGTGCCATTAAGTAACACACGATGGTGCAACGCGGCGTATGCGTGATAATTTCCATTGTGGCGCCAGCTATAAACAATTAGAAAGACAAAGGCACACAAAGTGTACGCACTAATTACGGAAATTTATGAGTTTGGGGCCTGGATATCTGGATATCTGGATATCTGGCTGTGGCACTGATTGCGCTGCCTAATTACACATTCATCCGTTCGGTTACCTTCCAGCCTCGCCAGGTGAGTGACAAATTTGATGTGATCTCTGGTGATGTGGCCCTGTCACGTCCCGATTCTGGATTTGGTTGACTGATTGACTAACGAATATGCTAATTTCCCGGCCCGATTCAGATCCTTCCATAAAAGTCATCGCAATGATGTGACAGTGACACGAGCGCCAAACGAATCGAACTAGGGATTTGTTTAGCGTCGAAAGAATTCCGTTGCCTCGGGAGGCTTATCTCAGGGAAAAATATAAACATTCCTTTATTTGAAACTTGGTTTCTTCGCCTCTAGTTCCGGGCAAAAAACCGTCCGAAGTTAATTAGATTCGGAACCCCGCTGTCCTGGGAAGGAAAATTGCAGACCAGATGAGCGACTCAATGACCTCCGTTTGCCCCCATCCTATAAGAAGCGGATGATAAGGATACCCCAATGTTATCTTCGCTAAATTATGGAATAATTTGCTGCCTTAAAGTTCCGCAGCGGAGGCTCATTAGCTCCAAATTGATTTGGTCTGTAATTAAAAGTATTAGGCTATGACACGATTTGAATATTTGTGAGTTTCATAGGAAAAGAAGAGTCAAAATATGGAAAAAAAGGGGAAAGCCCCATTGGGGTTGTCATGACAAAAAGGAAGACCCAATAAATATGGAACTGTAGCCTTTCGTACTTATTTGCCTCCGAGTAACGACACGTTCTGACGTCCTTTAATTAATTTCGTCAAACTTTTTCGCATTCAAACAACGAGTTTTTGTTTCCCCCACCAAGAAAATAAATAATTTAAAATTTCTGTAGACCTGACAGCTTTCAGCATTCTGTCGGCATTCAAGAAGCGATGGGAAAGGGTTAGGAACTGTACTTTTGAGCAAGGGGGTAAGGGAGTTTTGGTAATGATAGCATTTACTCATAATGGATGATAAAACACGGAAAAGAATATCATATCATTTTCGTATATGGGCAGCCTGCATTTTCAAAAATCTCTGTCTAAACGATCTACCAAAATACTCACCAAAACTGCTCTACTGTAAATAATGCGAGGGACACAAATCAGCAAATGGAGGGCAGCACTTCATGCCAGTCAACTGCAATTGTTCCGCTTTTCTTAGCACTTCTCTTCAATTTGTTTGTTTGTAAATCAAATGCAGGGTCAGTCCCCAAACAATTTCCTAAAAATATTTGGCACTCAACCCGAAAACGGGGCTAGAAACTATTTGCTTTGGCCGCTGCCAAAAACCAAAAAGACCGACGGCCAGCGCGCTTCAAAAGAATATTTCTCAGAGCGAGTTCGGAATGCTGGTTATTTGGTTCATACTCGGTTTTTTAATTTCCGTTTCACGAAGAGGCGGTTCGGCGATTGGCAAGCGAGCGACCTCGACAGTTTCGACTGAATCCGTGTGCAGGACTAACTGCTCCAAGTTGGCGGAACCGGCGTTAAAGTCTTGGACTTCAATGGGATCCACACAGGCGCCAAATTCCAACTGAATCCACCACGTGCGGAACACGGCGCATGTGCTGACCACCAGTTGAAAACAATCACTGCGGATGTTGCGCCGCGAATTCCATAAGAAAGAGCCCCCCTTTTTTTGGCAGCCATCTGTTGCTGCTGCTCCTTGGCAAATTTCATTCATGAGTGCGCGTATATTTACGCTCTCAATGGAAATTCTTATTTCAAAAATATTTTCTTCTGTACACGCGTCGCTTCTGCTTTTTTCCAATGTTTTGCTTTTATTTATAGCAGTTGTTTTGACCTTTGTTTAGCATACCTCTTTACCAGTAAGTGGAAAGATTCCACTTGGCTGTCGGACTTGATCCAAAACAGCTTTAACTTAGCGAACTCTCAAGAAAACCCTATTTTTTCCAGTCGTTCCAAATCTACTTTTGATAGACATTGACCTTTACTTATATTTCATGTTACTTTATAAAGTTTCAGTAGTAGAATCACTTACTTAATTAAGTCAACTCTCTCTTTTAACAAACATTGATATCCGTAGATGTTTATCTTTACGTAAGAAGTATACGTAACTTATAATAACCCTACTCACAATGCTCGCTAGAGAATAATGAACAAGCAAAGATCAACAGTTCGTATTTATTTGACTTTCGGCAGCTGCAATTACGACTACGATTGGCGTCAATATGGGTAATATATAAAAACGGAAGAGCCATCACTGGATCCCTGAGTTCGAAGCGAAGATCAGCGAAGATGATTGCCACAACGGTGTGTTTTTACCTGGTGCTGCTGGCCATTATCATGGCGTTCCTGTCCCCCTCCGTAGACGGTTGCTTCATCCTGCTGGCCTGCCTGTTGAAATCCCCCTTGTGTCCTTACAACACCACCTCGTCTGGATGATAGAGTGAATTTTTTGTGTTGCCTCTGCCCCACAACCCTCACCCAATAAATACGATTATGCATTGAAAAAATATATCTGAGAAGAGGAGAAGAGAATAGTTTTTAATGTGAGTGCTTTCAATATTAAAAACTGCATTTGAAAAGTTGAAATGTAATTTCAATTGGGTAGGGGATTTCCGTCTATCACGAATCAAAATTTTGCATATTTTTACAGAGGGTATTAAAATTTGAAGTTTGTAACGCAGTAAAGGAGTCTCCTTCCGAACAACATGATATCCATGCGAGGATATAAAAACGGTTGCAAAAGTTTAACGCGTGGGTGGCGCCATTATTACAAAAGCATTACATTTTAATATTTCCATCAATTAATGGTAGGAATATTTAAATGTAAAATCAAAATAGTTCAACGTACGATCTTTATATATTTCTGAAAATTATAGTAAAAATATAGATTTTATAATTTTATATTTTTAGTGCAAATATAAGCGCCTATTTTTTGTTTTGAACGGAAATACCCGTGAAAGGAAACTGAGTGACACTTCACTTAATAAACATCATCTCTAATGCTGTTGTACTAAGAGCTAATTCATTGGACACAGCTATAGACAAAGAAAGGTCTATTTCGGGTTTCACAAAAATCAATCACTCGTGGCTTAGTGGTAAAAACTTCTTCCCACGCCGGGAAATCGCCCACAGTGCTTCTTTTATTCGGGCACGCTTTATCCCGAGTCCCGTTTCGCACTCGCAAGGTGGATTGTTCGGCCAACATGTTGCTGCCCACGCTACCAGCCGAGCAAGCCGCACTACCTGACGTATGAGTGATATTTAATTAATTGCCATCTCCCTGCTGTTTGCACTCGGTAAATTTGAATTACAATCTGGGTAAGTCAAACACAGATCGGAGGGGCAGGGTGCTGGAATCCGGTTCCTCCGCCTCCTAGGTTCGCACACGCGTCAGTTCACCCCCAAGTTCACCACCCCCACCACCACCCCGCAGGCTCCAGTCTGCCGTAGATGACAAGACAAGCAAAAAGTCGCTTGGAGAGTGCGGCGGAAACTTTGACATGACTCGGCGACGACAGCTTGCAACATTGTGGCGCCTCTAAGCCAGCCGCCACTGCACACTTCCGATTTTTATACCTTTTCAAACACTTAAAGTTGACTTAACATCGATTTGCCCCTGTTGTCACACCGAAATTGGAAAGCTGAATGCGTTTCTCCGCCACGACTTTGGAGAACACTCAACCAGAAACGAACAACGTTCATGGTGTGCAATCAAATAGTGAGTTAAAATTAATTTTGTTGAAGGTAACTCCATGTTAAATTTGACTTTTCCAAAGGCTTTCAATGCTGTATTACCTTAAATATTTCTTTGGGCTTTGCTTTCAACACGCGTTGTGTATAAGAAAAATGAAAAGAGTTGTACTGCTATCTAAATGAGTCCTTGAGGGCCAAAACCATTCATCAGAATTTGAGATAGAAATTAATTGGCTTAATAACAGGGCCAAATCGTTTTTAGCACTTTTAAAAATTGGTTCAAAATAAGTAAGTTGTTTTTAAACTTACGAGGCAATTTAGCTTTTCCGGAAAACTAAACTCCGTTTTAGCAGTTTTATGATTTAATTTTTACGAATATAGAATTTTTCTATTATACTCCGATTATGCCAAAAGCAGACCTCAAGTAGAGAGATAACTATTACTGACTAGTTTAATAAGATTCATTCATGTATAGGGTTAAAAATGTACAGCAGCTGTCGCCATTTCTAGCAACAGATGGCTAATTTTTTATAATTAGTCAGCAGAGTAATGGGTATTCGTTAGTCGGGGTACTTGACTATAGTGCTCCTTCTTCAAGTCTTGATGTACCATCGGTGGCCATAAAACTGGAAAACTTCAACTCCTTAACTTATAAGTTAAAACTACAAAAGCGTCGCTTTTCCCTTTTGTCACAACTTTGTTCTTCTTTTTGTCCCCTTCGACGCCTTGTGTTTGCAGTGCAAACACCAAAAAAATTCATTGGTAAATTTAACCCATACAATAGTTACTCTTATACTTACTTTTAACCAACGTTTTTTTTGTGTGCAGATTCTTCTTTTGTACTCTGTGTTGCTTCCCCAAATCGGTTTGCGGTCTGTGGCTGGAATTCCATTTCTGCTGAGCCCATCAGTGGGCCGCAAAAATGCTATCCTTTGTGTGAGAAAGGCTACGATGTTCTGACCGGAGATTATTCCGCCCACCTACAAGGTCGAACTGGTATTGTTTCCTGCCCATTGTTGCTTTCATTTTGCTATTCCTGGCCCTATGCTAATTAAATGCCAATTGGCTTGCGACGCTTCAGTTTCCCTGGAAGACAAACAAGGGGGATTGGGGAATCCATTCATTCGTAGCATTTATTGATTTTCGCCTGGTCCTCTTCCACATTAAGTGAATCGCCTGGGGTGTCTAGCGTTTTGTAAATTTAATTTCATTTACCATAATGAAGGCCCCTTCCTCGGGGTTTTCAGGCAGGCAGGGTTCGCAGAGCGACAAACAGCCTGCGGTTTTCTTTGAGTCGCATGCGAATTGCAAAAATATTTGGAGCTACCGCGGATGAATACAGAGTTATTTACATAGATGGCCTGACCTTTGACTCTTCGAATGGATGGTTGGATATCAAAACCGCCAACGAAATTTTTGTTGTCTAATTGCACGCACAAATTTATTTGAATTCTAATCGCAATAGATGCTGAAACCGATATATATATGTACAATGTACTCCTACTTTAAATTTCACATTCAAAAAAGATCCTTAAACTATTAACCAAAAGGACAAACACGTCATTCGCTCTAAACTTTAATCAACTTTTCATAAACAAGTTTTGTGAATCATACTTTTACAACCATTAATAGGATGTATCCCTAAAGGGGGGCTTAACACCAAACACCCCTAAAGTTATCAGAGCTCAACCCCAGCTCAAAATGTGACTATTTACTCACAGCAAAGACCCAAATTTGGCTTTCCACAGGTAAATACCTGAGCTTGAACTCTGGTTGAGTTGACTTTGACTGCCTGAACGGTAACTAAATTCGATACTTCGAATTCGACCGATGAAATAGCAGATCTGGGTGGGAATTTGACTTTGGAATTAGGCAACCAGGACACGTACTGACAGCGGACAAAGTGAAAGCCACTGTCGAGCGGGCTTTACACTTAATTAGAGCAAATAACTAATGACAAACTTTGCACTCGCCGGAAAACTTCGGCTTTTACTTAAGCAGCAGGCCAAGCAGAACATAAAGGGGGATGGGATTTCGTTACAGCTGATAATGTATCTCATTGTGGGCAGCATTTCAACTTTATATCAATAAATTGGAATTCGAAGAGGGCTTTCATTTATTTTTGGATTTCTACATCTTAGTATATGGGTTACTTTGACCGTTGATATTTATCGGGAATACAATTCAATTATTTTTCAATCCGATTACTAGCCAGTACCAGTAGTGGTGGTCTTAAAGGGACAGATCTCCAGTCGGTATAAACAGGCCCAGAAGAGCAGCGTGGACTCGGCAGTGGGCACCAGGAAGAGGAGCAGGACGGACACGAGGAGCAGGTATAGCCACAGCACAGAGATATCCATGGTGGCCGAGTTGAAGCGGAGAAGATGCCGGACTGATTGCTCAGTGCGTATTTATAGTCGCTCAGAACGCACCGCTTCTATTTAAGCAGATGCAACCTGGTCGAATGTCTTTGACCTGCATCGTAGGCATAAACATTTGCCCAGCCTACAGCACTGAGTTCACAAGCCCATGGGCAGTGCAACCTTTAAACAACAACCACCCACCCCTTAACCATCCCAAAAAAAACAACTGAAATGCAATTACCTACACATAATTGTCACATTTTCAACACATCGAAATTAAATTACATTTGCCCTGATGTCGGATGTTTGGGGGCGGCCAAATTAGGCTGCAAAATTTGATCTGTCATTTCGCATTCACGATTAACTTTGTGGCCACAAATTGAATTCGTTGATGTATGAATGGGCCGGGTATCAAATAAATCTCGTTATGCTATTAATTATGCTCGAATGTTGCCCGATGCATACTAAACAGCTTAAATTTCTGTCGCCTGTTTGTTGACAATTTCGATTATGATCAATTGTGGTCTATATAGAATTTCAGGATATCCTTGCTTCTTCACAGCAAAGAGGTTTAATAGGGTTTGCATTTTCGTCAATGAAGCAAGTCGATTGTGGATAAATACCAATTTAATCAAAATAGGCTTGTATGCCATCTAGGAAATAGTCGCTTGCTGCTATCCATCTCCCTCGCACCCTCTTTACGCAGAGTAATGGGTATCTGATAGTCGAACCTCTTGAATATTGTTCTTTCAAAGATGTATTTATACCCGTTACTCGTAGAGTAAAAGGGTATACTAGATTCGTGCAAAAGTATGTAACAGCTAGAAGGAAGCGTTTCCGACCCCATAAAGTATATATTCTTGATCAGGGTCACTAGCCGAGTCGATCTAGCCATGTCCGTCTGTCCGTCTGTCCGTCTGTCCGTCTGTCCGTCTGTAGGAACGCTGAGATCTCAGAAACTACAAAAGCTAGAAGGTTGAGATTTCCCACACATATTCTTTGGCTTCCTACGCAGCGCAAGTTTATTTTAGCCGAGCGCCACGCCCCCTCTAACGCCCACAATCGCCCACTAACGATTTTAAAATGGGTCCTGCGCCCACATCTTTAAAGATTTCCGAGAAGTATAAATGCAATTTTGTTGTGTATATTTATACCTATCGAAATGTAGAAGACAGTTTCAAATCGGACCATTCATTAAAAAGTTATACGATTTATAAATTGTCAACATATATCTATCTCCCTCGCACTCCCTTTAGCTGAGTTACGATTATTAGTCGGGACACCAACCCGACACAGCGTTCGCACTCCCTTTAGCTGAGTGACGGGTATTAGATAGTCGGGACACCAACCCGACTATAGCGTTCTCTCTTGTTTTTTACTATCTTTTTATCTTCCAAAAGTTACCAATTAGTGACCAAAATACACCATCTTCGATTGGAAGACATTTCTGTGACAAAGTTTTCACCCCAAATTGCTTGCAGGGAAACAGCGACGTATATCGTATCCTTCACCCATACGATCATATTTTAAACGTTGGCCACGCGCCGTAGACACTCATTAATAATGCATTGTCTGCTAGCCGTAAACAAGCTCACTGCCTTGTTTGTGGGCGCTGCTTTGTTACATTAACAACTTTAAATCTGCCAACAATTAAGTTGTACTCATTTTCCATAAATGCTAATGCTAGGTGACAGAAGCTGCTGCAGAATTATGCAAATGCTGGCCCTGTTGACGAGGATATCCACTTTTTTGGGAGGGAGAAAGCACAGCTAAAGACACTGAAAATATCGTTCATGAACTATCCATAGGTTGTAAAACTAAAAACATTCATCCAAAAAACATTATCATTGGGTATTTCCTGAACTTTTAAGTTGTTGACCTGATGAAAATTCGCCTTAAATATTAGCAATAAGGGGAACTACACACCTAAAATAAAGTTTTCGAATGCAAATAATAAAATAAAAATATTTGGCTTAGTTGTTTTTGTTAGGGAAAATTACATTTCTTCTATTAATTAAAACTATTTCAATTAAATTTCGCTCTTTTCCATTTTTTCCCATCATCTTTCCGAAAGATTAAAATTGGTTTTCTCGTCCGCGTGCTAGATTTAAAGTACACTTTAAAGCTAGAGAACGGATTTCGTTGATGTGAGTACCAGAGAGCTGCAACGAGTCAATCATTTTCGGGTACACCCGATCATTTACTCGTATCCGTTTTGATTAATCGCTTCGGGTGAGCGAAATGAAATGAGCGGTGAGCGAATGCGATCGTGCCATGAATGATCGTTTGTGATCGTTCAAGTGTGTGATCTGATCGTGTGTGAACGTTCGGCTTGAAGATTTTACCCGTTTGTGATCGAATATTTTGTGCAATCGATTGGTGTGATCGTGCTTCGCGCCTATCGGTATGACAATGCAGTTCGTGTTATTGCTTTATATTTGGCACAACATATTTTTATATTTGCACAAAAGGACAACAAGTACTAGATTTTAAAAGCGTTTTAGAACTAATATCAAATGGAAAGGAAAGGAAAAAGTTTCATATGGAATAAATATTTCTCAATAAACATATATGTACACACAAAAAAAAAACTTGGTAAAATCAACTGTAATAATTGTCAAACAGGCCCCAACCAGCAAAATTGTCAATTCTACTAAGTAAATAGTCATTTCACAACAACAAAATACACACAATTAGCAAACCACAAACCCAAAGCAAAAACAAAATACACGTAACCATTTTAATAGTTACGTAACTATCTTGTTGGTCAATTTTACCAAGTTTTTTTGTGTGTAATACATTGAAGTGCACTCTCCATCTATTTTATTTCGTCGTTACAAGAAATCATATTAATCCGTTCACAATCTATTCATGTACAACTGACTCGAGGTCGCAATCATCGGGAACGATTGAGCGCTTCGGAACGATCATTTTGTTCTCCTACACCCGAAGTTCAAAATCACATCATTGATCGTTACGAAGCGAGTCGGGTAGTTGATCGGATCGTAGTTTGGCTTTCGGGTTTGTTCGTGATTATTCCTTGCCGAGTGAGTTTACCGGATTAAACGAAAATGATCGCGCGATGATCGATCGTACTCGATCATACTCGTTGCAGCTCTCTGGTGAGTACTAGTCCCTACTTCAAATGAAAGAAAAAAGCGTTGTTGCGGAATGTGGTCGCTGTTGCAGAAGCGCCGTCTGTCTGAACAGGCCGGAAAGTTTGAACGGAACAAACCCGATTTGAAATATAATCGATAAGCACATTCCGCGCCTCTATCAAAAACAGCTAAAAATAACCAACTGCGTTTAAGAATAGTTGTAAACAATTTGGACAGCCGGCGAAAATGGATCGTTTGGCCAGAGTTTTTTCCCAGCAGGACGAGCTGATAGCTCTGGATGGAGGGTATAAGGATGAGTACGAAACCTTCAAGTCCCTGGACTCCCTGCCGGAGGAGAAGCTGGCAAAATTCCAGCAGCTGACACTGAAACTGCTGGAGGACTTGGAGCAGCCGCACGACAGGAAGAAGTGCGCCGAGAGATCACGAAGTCTACGCGAGGAGGGCAACATTGTGTTCCGAGGTGGAGGCCCAGGATCTCCCCCAGACTCGGAGCGAGTACTGAGTGCCTGCAGGCTCTACACGGGAGCCGTTTTCGAGGCGGAGGATGCTCTCGATGAGCTGGCCCTGGCTTTTGCCAATCGCGGAATGGCCCTCCAGGAGTTCGGGTACTACAGGGAGGCCTACGATGACTGCGCCAATGCGCTGGAGTGTGGTTACCCGGAGAGGCTGCGCCACAAGGTCATCATGCGGCAGGCCCACTGCGCCTGGAAGCTGGAGAAGGTAGAGCCCCTGGAGGAGCATCTAACTAGTCTAGAGCAGCTCCAGCTGAACGATAGCTTCAAGCAGCAGCTGGAGGAGTTAAAGGAGGAACTGCAGTACCTAAAGGACAGAGGCACTGATGCGGAGACACTTGAGGAAGATGTCTGCACAAATCTAGAGGAAATGTAAGCTTAGCTTTCCAGATAATTGCCATTATCTAATCTTTTTGTCAGCCATACAGATCCTGGTGAGCGTGGGCGGTATATGGTGGCCAAAGAACCGATAGCCAAGGGCCAAATCATCTTCTCCGAACGAGCAGCCTGCTTTGTTCCTCTAGAACAGCGGCTGATTTGTCAGCAGTGCGCCGCCACCTTGATGAGTGCACCCATTCCCTGCTCCAAGTGTCACCAAAGAGTTGTCTACTGCTCCAGGAAATGTCGAGAAGGACACGCAGCAATCCACAGATACGAGTGCCCGGCCTACCAAAGGGATCTTCTCAAAATGCTGGGCGTTTCACACTTGGCCTTGCGCCTGGTTTTGGCCTACATGCCCCAGATGTTGACCCTTCTCCAGTACAGAACCTGTGCCCAGGAAATTTGGGAAAGTATCCTTAATATGACCAAGCAAACAGAAGAGCAGGAAACCACTCCAGAGTACTTGCAAAGCCTGCGCATGGTCAGCCATTTGGAGAAGGCCTCACAGGCGGAGTTGGTCTATCACATCCTGTGCGCAAATCTGCTTCAAGTTTATCTGAAAGAGCACACCGACTACTTCGATCAGTTCCAATTCTCGCCAGCCAGCACTAAGGATTGGCAACTGATTACATCAGCATTGATTCTTCGATCCGCCGGCCAACTGCTGGCGAATGGCCATGTGGGCGATGCTCTCCTGCCAGTTGGCATGGAGCCCAACGAGTTTGCCCTGTTGCAGCCGGATCTGTGGCAGTATCCGCTACACCTTAAGCTCGGTCAATTGCACAATCTGGCCCACTCGGAGCTGATCACGGCCATCAATCTGCCCTACTTAAGCCTGTGCAACCATGCCTGCGCTCCCTCCATTCGAACCAAGTTCGATGGGTGCTCCGTGGTTAACTACGCTGCAAAGGATATTTTAGCGGGCGAAGAGATCTTCAACTGCTATACAAGGGATTACAGAAACAGTTTGAAGCTTCAGCGAACTGAACCTTTAAGAGAGGTCTACAAATTCCAGTGCAGCTGTGTCAAGTGCACCCAAAGTGATCCCGATCAGGACTATGTGAGAAAAGTCAAACATTTAAATAGGAATACCTTTAAATTTATACTCTGTAATTACTTTCAGCTCAATTTCCATCGGTATCGCTGCGAAAAGTTCAACTGCCGGCAGGAATTTCTGCCGGACGTGGAACTTCAACGGAATAATCTCAGCTGGTGGCTGCCATCCAACGCAGACAACTTGATTATATGCACGGTGTGCAAGGAACGCCAACAATGCGTCTGGTACAATGACTTCCTTGACCTCGTAGAGGGCTGCGGAGATTCGTCAAAGAGGAAGGCGCTCTTTAAAGCCTTTGATGATCTAGACAAATGGCTAGTGGATCACCACAGCCTCAAAAGAAATCTAGCGGAAGAAGTGGTGACAGCCTGTTTTGTAGAAATTGATGGTAAGCAATAGTTTGCTCATATAATTTCAATATTAATAACATTTTAAATTTTAAAAACAGAGGGAACTTCAATGGATGTGCTGGACTATGAAAACCTGGCGAGGATTATCCGAAAGCAGCTAGAAGGCACTGCTGCCCAGTGTGGCGAAACCTCCATGGAGTACATTGCACAGATGACCTATCTCTGGGATCTAATTGCGCTGAAAAAATGTCAAAGCAGCAAAGAGGAAATTCTAGGGTTAAGAGGTAAGCTGGATTATCTGGCCAATGAGCACAAAGGGGTTTTCTTGAACTATTACAACGATTTTATTGAGCAACAATGTAAATAACGATATACACGCATTAAATTCACTAGATTCGATCTACAGGCAATCAACACTGGCACTTTTTCACCTACAACTAATCTGAGCTTGCTAACGGGCGTTATTCCGTCTCCGCACTCTCTTTAGATGAAGTGGGAGGCATATTCGTGGGGCATTACGCCCCGGCGGGGGTAGAAGGTGTGGGTGGTAGAGAACTTTAACAGGTTTGTTATGTCGCTGGTGTAGATGTCGGCAAAGCGGAAGAGGCGTCTCGAGAAGTACGTGGGATTGTGATAAGTGCGGAAAACGCTGCCAAACTGCTCGTTGAACACGTTCTTCGTTTTGTTGCTGTTAGAAGTTGCATAATTAATAATGGCACTTTAAAGACTTGGTAATTTTACACACCGCAGCTGATCCCGCTCCTCCATCCACTCCTTCAGGCAAATCTGGGCTGCCTCGCTCTCATCGTCCTGGGTCTCCTCGATTAGCTGCGTCAGCATTTGCAGCCAGTTGGCGCTCATCTTGAAGTCCTCGCGATTGAGGGTTTCAATTTCGTGCTGTAAAGACAGCAATCTTTAATAAATTACCTATACATTTTAAATTAAAGATACCCACAGCCAGTTCACTAATGATGGCACCTGTTCGCCAGCTGTGCTTGAGAGTAACATCTGCCAGATCGCTGTACGGATGATCGCCGAAATAAAGCACGGAGTGACCACGCCAGCCCTTGAGCTCTTGAAGCTGTCTGACCGAACCCTGGAAGGATCACTAAGACTACAGCATTTGTTTCGCTAAATTAAAAAAGAAACGCCTCACCTCATAGTAGATCTTTCCCTTCTCCAGCTTAAAGACCCGATCCCAAAGGTGCGACTGCGTTCGCTCATCAAACAGCCTGATTGGGCGAGACTCATCCGTGAAGAACTTGGGTTTGCGCGCCTGCACAATGACCACATCGAAAAAGTCACGCCAGTTGGAGCCCACTAGATAGGACATGCCGCAGTTTCTAAAAATTCAGAGATTAGAAATGATTGAAGATAGATGAAGGAAGAGCATCTTACACAAACGAGTACGGACTGTTGGTGACCAGAAAGAGATTCTTGCCCGCCTGCTGCAGCTTCTCAAAGAACTTGATGAGCTTCGGGTTGCGTTCTATGTACTTTTCGGTGTTCAGCATAACTTTGCCGTGCATTATGGGATGGCAGGAGCCCATTGCCGTCCTAGTGTCATGGAAAACTATCTCCGGATTATAATCGATGCGATTGCGCTCAAAGTATTCGATCACATTGCACAGCAGGCACATTTCAGGTACTGAAAAAAGATCCGCCAGCTGCACCATTTTGGAATTGGTATTGTGCTGTTAAAAAAAAGGAGATCGTAAATCACCGATTGATAAACCCAAATCCAAAACAGGCGATTAGATACGAACCCTGTAGCTGTTGTTCGGCCCCTCCACGTAGGCGATGGGCAGCAGGCGGTTGTGGTAGAGCTTCAGCACCTCCTCCGCCTCCACTTTGGTGCGTCCCCGGTAGACGGAGCCTAACTGCAGCTGCAGGAAGCTGTCCAGCTTCACCAGCAGCCCCTTTTCCACGTCGTAGTGCAGGCCGCGCACCGCAAAGTTGGGCTCGTACTCCAGGTCCAGGATGTCCTCCGGGTAGCGGAACCGCTTCACGAGCATCTCGCGGGCCAGATTGTACAGCAGGTCCTCCAGGATGGGCTTGTAGCAGGCCAGGGTGTAGTCGTAGTCGAAGCCATAGACCTGCACCTCGCTGAGATCCAGCTCGTTGCAGGCGAACACCGCATCCGGGTGCACATCTGCGGGCAGCTTCTTGGCTGAAAATGTCAAGTGATTCGAAACGGGGGGGGTGTTACTAATTGGACCACTCGGCGGATGGGTATTTATAGAACGTGCACATACTAAACTACGCATATGCATATGCCTGCGACTGGTTGAGGCTTACATTGGAACTTCTTTTTGGTGGCTTCGTGAAGCTTTTGGAAATCACTCACTGTTTTTGGGTGCGAGATCTGCCCGGGAGCAGCTGGAGCGGAAGCCCCAGCGTCCGACGAGAAAGCGCGGGATTCGGATCGAGATCGAGCGTTCGGTTTGGAGACGGTAAAGTCCCAGCTACGGAGGACACCACCCGCTCGCAGAAGCCCATTCTGCCGGAGGAGCGCACTGACTATGGGACTGCCTGCCGCGCACATTTAACTTTTTACTAAATTGCCAATTAAGCCCGTTTGTTATGTACACTAAGTGGGGGCGGAGTGGGTGGCTATATGGGGCTGTTGGGGTGGGTGTGACCTGACTGTAGCCCCCCAAAAAATACCGAATCGCGGTTTTAATAATATGGTAATTTGAGGATTATGTTATATTGAGTGTTCTTATTAGTAAATTATAATATAAATACAAAGGTAACGGCAATTTCTAAAAACTCTTTTGAACTTATGAATAGGTTTTATCTTTTAAATTAACCGTTACAACTGGCCAACTTTGAACATTTTGGCAGCCCTATAAAAATACCAAATCAGTAACAGCATACGCGTTAGGGATTTTGTTATTTGTGACATCTTCCAAGTGAATGCCAAGTGGTCGTGACTAGAGTATCGGTTTCTGAACACGCTTCCAAGTGAATGCTTAATTTTCATTTTCGGCAATAATTAAAAATCCACGAGTGCAAACAAATCTGAAGTGATTTACCCAGCAAACGAAACAAAACGAGCCCATACACCGATTTAAGCCCCACAACTTGCGGGGGAGTGGAGAAAAGAGACCGAGGAGCAACTACTTTTGCCTGCGTGTGCGTGCGTGTGTCTGGTAGTAGTAGTATTTTTTCATTTCTGTTTTCGCTGTACGTGCGGATTGATTCATATTATTTCATTACGTGAGCTATTGCCAATATATGTATAGTCGGCCGAGGACAAAGCCACACCGATTTCACTTGGCCCCCGAACCCGAGCTTATTGTTTATTTGATATATGCGTAAATAGATGCCGCCAGCGATGTAGAGCTGCTGATGGCCCCTTTTTACGGGGGCCGCGGCCAATGAATCCACAGACCCAAAAAAAGAACAAAAACGAAAGAGGAAAGCAGAGACAAAAACAAATTACGCCGTAGATGAAAAGAAAAGCGCCAAGAAGCAGAAGAAGCAACAGCGAATACGTCAAATATCTCTAATCTCCAATACCAGTGCACAATAAACGTGTGTGCCCAAAAAAAAACGAATTCTGGTGGCCAACCAACAAAAACAACAACGACACTATAAAGTAACATCCGCTCAGGAGTTGACAACTGATACGTAGAATTATGAACGTAGAGAGCCAACTGAAGACACCGCTAACGCACATACGCAATCTGGTCAAGCACGTGAACAAGCGAAATTTTAATGAGAGCAGCGAGCAAATAAAGCAGGTGAGTTGTATGGCTAAATCGAACTTTTCCCCCACTAGATTTCATGAACAATCCGTTTTTGTCAACAATAACAACAACAAGGTGACAGGGCTAGTGTTGCCAAATCGAAAACATATCGCACCTGGTGCCAGAGTTGCCAATTGTTCGCACTCACGACTGGCCGAGAGCACTATTGCCATTTCACTCGCTCGTGCATTTTTGCCGACGCCATTACAGTTTTTTGGTAAAGGCAGCTGAAAAAATTTCTCTGCACGGCGTTGCGCGTTTTGTGACCGTTTTGTTTAAGCTAAAAGTGGTTTAGAATGTGTAAAACCAGGCCAATTGTGTGCGCTTAGCCACGCACGCGATTTGTGAGTGATCGGCAGTGTGAAATTCGCAGCGGAGCAGTGCGAAATTGAGTTGCAAAAATCGAATTGGGAAGCCCAAGCCAAGCATAGGGCTTTTCGGCCCCCAAACTTCTTTTTTCTCGGTGCTTGTGGAAAAAAACCAATTTAAATAGTAAGTTTATGCGGTCAACTCGATGCGAATATCAATTGCGGCCGCTTTCTTTTCGCTGGAGTTGCAATATGTCGCAGTTTTTCCTGTGACCCCCTTCCTTTCTCGCACCGTCATGCTCTCTCCCCTTCTCTCCCATGTAACGTTTGGCCTGCGAGTGCGAGCGAGAGGGCGCGAGTGTAATTTGTTGTGGAGCAGCTGCGGCGGCGGGGTCACAGCTGTTGTCTCGCTCCCGCGCGCGGAGAGAGGCCTTGAGTCCGGACTCCGAACTCCGGATCCCGTATTTCATGCAGTGGGGTCCGAAAGGGGGAGTGGGGATACTTGACCCCCTCAAAAGTTTCCTACTGAACGTAGTATCATAACAAAAAGTTTGTTTAGTAATAGGCCAATTTGGCAAATAGTGTTCCAATAAGTAATAGCCTTGCTAATTTTAACGAAACTCTGGATTTCGTATTTCATTAAAAGAGGGGGGACCTCTCAATAAAGTTTTTCTCGAACATACTCCAGTCCCTGAATCCAGAATTTTTAGTGGTATTGGAGGCACTTTATAATATATCGAAAACGTGTACTTACCATATAAACTAGGCAAACGGGTGATCAGTAGCCTTCAACTCACACAATAACCATAAAATATTACTTCAGATCGGACTACGTATCCGTAAACACACTCTTAAAACTAGGACAGTTAAAGATTGACACACGCACAGAACAGAACCTGTCAAAATTACCAAGTTTGCGATGAAAATCATATAAAAAGAAAACGGTGACCGCATAATCCGTGGAATCGTTTGAAACGTCCATTGTCCCGTGGATATGTGTCCCAGGTTCCGGGCAGCCGTCGTCAGGGCACTTCTGTTGGCCCCAAAAACTAAGTCCGATGCCTCTCCCCGATACTGATAGTCTCTCCAACCTATTGCAGTTCGTCAAAGAGCACGGCCTGGAAGCGGATCGCAGCAGTCTGCGCCACCTGTTCTCCGTGATCAACTTCAGCGATCCCGCGCCATCGGTTACCGCCCAGCTGCAGGCGAAGCTCCTGGGCGCCCAGTTGCAGCGGCAGCTGCAGAGCTCCTCGTTTGTGTCCAACATCTGCTACGCCTTCGACCAGTACTTCGCCAGCAACCAGAAGGTGAGTCACGACCAAATTCCTGGATAGAGTTTTAAATAACCTTCTCTGAGTAGTCCCTAAAGCCTGCTGCGGTAGCGGATCTCGTTGGCCAAGTCGCCCGACTGACCGGCATTAACAAGCTCTGCGAGTGCATCTTTGCCTTGGCCGTGACCCACTCCTCGCATACGGAACTCCGGCATTCGGCCACAAACAACCTAAAGAGCAGCCTCACTGAATTGATCGACTCCTATTTGGGCAAGAACCACAGCAGCCCGGCGAGCAGCGGACTCCAGGAGATCTCCTTTGATCTGCTGCAGTACTTGTTGTCCTGCCTCAGCGAATACGTGAAGCCGCAGCTGGAGGAGGAGTTCCTGGTCAAGCTTCGCGAGGAGTTTCCGCGCCAGGCGGTGCCGTTGGTTCTAGCGCCGTTTCTGTACGGCTCGACGACGGCGACGATTGCGGGAGCAGGTGCCAGCGAAACGGATGCGGAGGCCGAAGCGACGGCCAGCAGCAACAGCTCCAGTTCCGAGGCAGATGCTCTGAACGAGGTGGGAATCGAGGATATCTATGACCATTTAAGCGAGATAATATTCACCAACCAGGTACGTTTTAGAAATAGTTTGAATGTTTTGAGCGATTTACTAATTTGGTTTTCTGTTGCAGGGCAAAAATAATATTATGGACACATCCTGGATTAATCTAATCCTGGAAATCGGTTATGAATTTACATCGAGCGTTGAAGAGTGCAAAAATCATTTGTGTTCCCGCGAGCGAGAACGCGCTGAGCTCCAGTCCAAAGATGTCGCCAAGATCGTGGGACTCATGTGCCGCCGGCACTCGTCTCTGCTCGACTGTAATGTGAACCTTCCGACGCCGGCGAACTTCTGGCCTGGTCAGGGACAGAGCGCTGGCAGCAACAGCAGCGGCTCCGCGCAGGCACAAAGCACTCCGCAGCAGCAGAATTCGGGCAGCAGCAACAACAACGATGGCAGCGAAGGCAACTCGTCCAGTGATAAGAAGGACAAGAAGGAGACGACAGAGGCCACGCAGACCTGGAAGCCAGATGTCTTTGTGCAGGCCCTCAAGGAAGTGGTGCCCCAGCTCAACTGGAAGGACGTGTGCATGGGTAATAGTCTCATCATGGCTCATCAATTCAAAACGCTAATTTATCTTAATTCCCTTTCAGAACTCGATCATCCGGAGTTCGTGCTCAAGGATCGCATTGGTCTGGAGCTACTGCTGACCATCCTTCGCCTGGCCACTGGCTCCAACATATTCCCACATCCAGAATGCATTTACCGCCACTGGGCAAACACGGAGGGTCAGCTGTCGCTTATCGCGACGATGCTGAAGAACCCGGATCTCTTCTCCTTCGCCGACTTTGTATTTAGCCAGCCAGCGTTGGACGTGCTGAAGACGGCCCCGGATGCGGACAACAAGGAGATCTCGGCCTGGAAGTCACTCCACCTGGTGGAGGTGTTGCTGTCTGTTGCGGACAAGGGATACTATACGCAGGTCCATGAGCTTTTCAAGTTCCCTGCGCAGAATTGTCCCGATGTGCTGTTCTTGGCCTTACTGCACATTAATCCACCTCTAACGCCGCTGCGCCAGGATCTGTTTAACCAACTGATACCCACGTTCCTGGGCAACCATCCCAACTCGAACGTGATCCTGGCCAGCGCCTGGAGCTCGACCAACTTCCAATTGCGCCCCAACATCATGAATGCCATGTCCGAATGGTATCTGCGAGGCAGTGAGTTCGACCAGGTGAAGCTGTCTCGCATTCTTGACCTTGCCCAGGACCTGAAGGCGCTGTCAGCGCTGCTCAACGCCCGCTCCTTTTTGTTCATTATCGACCTGGCTTGCCTTGCCTCGCGGCGCGAGTACCTGAAGCTGGAGAAGTGGCTCACCGACAAGATTCGCGACCATGGGGAGCCCTTCATGCAGGCCATAATCAAGGTGCTGCACCGCCGCTGCCCCCAGGTGATCAACGCCAAAGTGCCCGAGGACCAGCTGCCTCCCAAGCAGGCTCAGCTCTTGCCCGAAACGGTTACCACAATGATCAACTGTCTGCAGACGTGCATCAATACCTGCATGCAGCCGGAGATGGTCGAAGTGATTATGCAGATGACCGCCAACGTGGCTATTATGGCCAACAAGGCGCGTGCCCAACAGCAGCAGCAGCCAGGACTGGTTCCGCCGCCTCCTCCGGCCATTCTACGCCATCGCGGCATGGATTTGCCCGGCGGCATTGTTCCTCCGCCCCCTCAGCAACCCTTCTCTGGAAACCTCAATGCGCAGATGTTCGGACCCGGAATGGATCCGCTGACCAATATGTCCAACAACCTGGCAGGCCTCAACCTGAGCGGCCCGAATGGAGCCTTTAACTTTGGCAACATGCTAAGTAAGTGTAGCTATTAAATCGTTCAGAGATATTATTGCCTAACCATTACATTTCGTTACCAATCCAGCCTCTCCATCGCGTTTAATGACCCCAGGTGCCAGTCCCTATCCGCTGAATCCTATGCAGATGCCTCAAGCTCCGCCGCCACCCAATGTCGGAAATCTTGGACGTATGCTGCCCGGGGGTCCTCAACAGCAGACTCCCACGCCGACTCCAACGGCGCCCAATCCAAACAATCCTGTGATGGCAGACCTTCAAATACCTGTGTCCAAGGAAGTGGAAGACGAGGTCAACTCGTACTTCCAGCGCATCTACAATCACCAGCCCAATCCCACGCTGTCCATTGACGAAGTGCTGGACATTCTGCAGCGCTTCAAGGAGTCGAGTAACCGGCGCGAACAGGAGGTCTTTCTGTGTATGCTGCGCAATCTCTTCGAGGAGTACCGCTTCTTCTGTCAATACCCAGAGAAGGAGCTGCAGATAACAGCGCAGCTCTTTGGAGGCATCATCGACCGCAACCTGGTGCCCACATTTGTGGCTCTGGGTCTCTCCCTGCGCTGTGTTCTGGACGCGCTCCGCAAACCCGATGGCTCCAAACTTTACTACTTCGGTGTGACTGCTCTGGACAGATTCAGGACCCGACTGCACACATACAACAAGTACTGTGAGCACATCCGCTCCATTCCTCATTTCTCGGACTTTCCGCCGCATCTCATCCAGTATGTGGAGTATGGAATGCACGGCCAGGAGCCGCCGCCACAAAAGCTGATTGGCCTCAGCAATACAATTCCGTCTGCAATTTCCACCGGACCACCAAGCGAACCACTTTTCAGGAGCAACTCCATGCTAGGTAACTATTAGTTATTTGTATTCAAGTTTGTAAAAGAGAAAGTGAACACATCAACGAGCTACTCAGCTTATTTTTATTTTAAAAACGTATGTTAGTGTTCAATTAAGTCTCAATTTATAAGCAACTAAGCAAGAACTTAGCTTGCTGACTAAATCCACTAAACACATCATTTTCACTACTTTTCGCCAGAGAATAACGTTGATTCCCATGCTCTTCCATAGGTAACATGCCCTCTGCCACAACCGGATCGGGACCCAAATCCAGCGCTGCTGTGTCGCACGCCACGAGGATGAAATCCATCGCAAATGCTACCAATATCGACACCCTTTTGGTGGCCAACCAGGAGGAGAAGGTGACGGTGCCCCCGGAACCTGTACAGGACAAAACTGCCTTTATATTCAACAACCTGAGCCAACTGAACATCCCGCAGAAGTGCGACGAGATTAAGGAGATCATGACCAAGGAGTATTGGCCGTGGCTAGCTCAGTATTTGGTTCTCAAACGCGCATCAATGGAGTTCAATTTCCACACGCTCTACTACAACTTCTTGGATGCCCTCAAAAACGGCGAGATTAATCGATTCGTGACGAAGGAGACGCTGCGCAATATCAAGGTGCTCCTGCGCTCTGATAAGGGAGTTATCAACTTCTCCGATCGCAGCCTGCTGAAAAACCTCGGTCACTGGCTTGGAATGATGACCCTGGGTCGTAATCGTCCTATTCTTCAGTTGGATCTGGATTTGAAGTCCCTCCTGGCCGAGGCCTATCATAAGGGCCAGCAGGAACTGCTTTTTGTGGTCCCCTTCGTGGCCAAGATCCTCGAGTCATCCGCCAAGTCGCGCATCTTCCGGTCGCCCAATCCCTGGACCATGGGCATCATGTACGTGCTGGGCGAGCTCCACCAGGAGCCGGACCTCAAGCTAAACCTCAAGTTTGAAATCGAGGTGCTGTGCAAGACACTCAATTTGGAGCTCGCCAAGTTGCGTCCGGTGATCTACCTAAAGGATCCCAGCCGAGCTTTGCTCATCGAACAGCAGATGTCGCAACCGAAACCCAAGCAACTGGAGCCAGTAGCTCCGGCAGCTTCTCTGCCGCGTGAGCACCAATCCCCGGCACAACCTCCGCCGCCACCACAGCAGCAGCAGCAGCAACAACAACAACAGCAGCAGCAACAACAACAACAGGCTCCTCCACCGCCACCCTCGTCCGATGTGGATGCCCAGAATGCGGCCGCCATGATGATGGCAGCAGGTGGAGCTAACAGCACCCCCGGATCGGTGTCTTCGCCCAATCTTCCTACCGATCCCAGCCAGGTTGTACTTCCACCACCGGAGCCGCGCTATTCCTATGTGGACGTGAACGTGAGCAACTTCCAGCTTATTGCTCAGCAGTTGGTGCTGCCACCCAACCTGCCGTTCCTGCACGCCAATCCCGGAATCAAGCATATTGTCGTGAACGCCGTGGAGCGAACGATCACCGACTGGCTGCAGCCCATTGTGGACCGAAGCATTCGCATTGCCTGCGCCACAACCGAGCAGATTATTCGCAAGGATTTCGCATTGGATGCCGACGAGAACCGAATGCGCACAGCCGCCCATCAAATGGTGCGCAACCTGGCCGCCGGCATGGCCATGATTACCGGAAAGGATGAGATTGCGCGTGCGATTAGCCAGAACTTGCACAAGGCCCTGCTGTCGGCTCTATCGGGAATGCCCAGTATGACTGAGATCCAAGCTGCCGCCATGCAATTGGCCAGTGAAAATGTGGAGCTGGTGTGCGCCTTCATCCAGAAGACATCGGCCGAAAAGGCAGCCGCTGAGATTGACAGGCGTCTGAGCACTGATTTCGAGACCAGAAAGATTGCCCGTGAAGAGGGCAGCCGATTTGTGGATGCCCAGATCCTAAGCTACCAGCAGGAACGTCTTCCGGAGGCAGTGCGTATCAAGGTGGGCCCCGCTCCAGCTACACTTTATGCCGTGTACTCGGAGTTCGCAAGGAGCATACCTGGCTTCCAGCAGATGAGCGATCGGGATATTGCCCTGTTTGTGCCCAAGCCGACGGATTTGTCGCAGCCAAATGTTTTTGCCAACGATGAGAGCAGCTTGGTGTACGCGGAATTGGCCAGCAAGATGGAGGCCTTCATGAACACGGCAATCGGTGTGCCGTCGCTGCAGGTGCAGGCCAGCAAGATGCACATGCTCCTTAATGCTTTGATGTCGACGCGTCGCCTGCGTGACCAAGAGTCGGCCTTCAATCTGCTGACCCGCGCCGTCGAGGGCTTGACCGAGGGACTGGTTAATATGCACGAAAACCTAGAGCAGATGAAGCTCTACCAAAACATCCACCTGCGGATCATTGGCCTGCTGCACAACAGCTTTGGTGCCCCGAACACAGAGCGAGCGGTGACCAAGTGCTTCTTCGACATCCGCGAGGAGGTGCGATACAATGTGGAGGCGGCTCGTGCGTTGATTACCTCGCACTTTGTGAACCTCAATCAGTTTGATGGAATGCTGCGCGATTGCATGGACAACGGCAACAACTATGTGGCCATCTCGTTCGGCATTGCACTCCTGGAGCGCCTCATCATGGACGATCGGGTGATAAACATTGTGTCGGACAACGAATTCATGGCCACCGTGGAGCTGTTGGGTAGGCTTACGCAGCACCGTCACCGGTACCCCGAATGCATCGTGAATGCCATCGATACGCTGTGGAGCGGAAACTTCAACTCGAGCACCGACTACAGTCCGTTTAACGCCAGTGAGCGTTACTTGGCAGGAGCCTCGCACTACATCCACTCCGGCATGCATCACGTGAGGGTAGGGATGATAACTACATTTTATTTTTGAGTTATAATAACATTTCTTCTCTTCCACTAGTCATGCGATACTGATGATCCGCCGGGACTGCAGGAGAAGACCGAGTTTCTGCTCAAGGATTGGGTGGCGTTGTACACGCAACAAAACCAGCAGTCAACGCGCGATGCCCGCAACTTTGGTGCCTTCGTCCAGAAGATGAACACCTACGGAATCCTGAAGACGGACGACCTGATCACACGCTTCTTCCGCCAGGCTACGCACATTTGTACCGATGTGGTGTACAGAATGTTCGCCGAGCCCAGTCTGCCAATTAACCAGGCCAAGAACAAGATATTCCAGTGGATCGACGCGTTCGTGCACCTGATCGCCATGCTGGTGCGGCACTCAGGTGAGGCGGGCAATCCGACCACCAAGATCAACCTGCTGAACAAGGTGCTAGGCATTGTGCTGGGCACGCTGCTCAAGGACCACGAGATGCGCGGCGTAAGTTTCCAGCAGGTGGGCTACCACCGCTTCTTCATGATGCTCTTCATGGAGCTCTGCTCGGCCGACGTAATTCTCGAGTCCCTGATGCACAGCATTGTGTCGGCCTTCGCCTACACATATCACCTGCTGAGTCCCAGCGTGGCTCCCGGATTCTGCTTCGCTTGGCTCGAGCTCATCTCGCACCGCGTCTTCCTGGGCCGCATCCTCGTCCAGATTCCCGGCCAAAAGGGCTGGCCGCTTTACGCGCAACTGCTGCAGGACCTCTTCAAATATCTCGCGCCCTTCCTGCGCAACACGGAGCTGGGCAAACCAGTCCAACTCCTGTACAAGGGCACCCTGCGTGTTCTACTCGTTCTGCTGCACGATTTTCCCGAGTTCTTGTGCGACTACCATTTCGGGTTCTGCGATACCATCCCGCCCAACTGCGTCCAGATGCGTAACATCATCCTGTCTGCGTTCCCGCGCAACATGCGCCTGCCCGATCCCTTCACGCCCAATCTGAAGGTCGACATGCTGTCGGACAGCAGCAATGCTCCCAAGGTGCTCAGCAGCTACATCATGAACATCCAGCCGCCGAACTTCAAGAAGGATCTGGACTCGTACCTCAAGGCTCGGGCCCCGGTTACTTTCCTTTCGGAGTTGCGTGGTCACCTGCAGGTGACCAGCGAGCCAGGAACGCGTTACAACATGACGCTGATGAACGCTCTGGTCATGTATGTGGGTACCCAGGCGATTGCTTTGATAAGGTGAGTGCTTAAGAGTAGCTTTCCTCTCGAAAATTATTGCTAACCGAGTTTGCTAATTTGCAGAAACAAGAACTTTGTGCCCAACACTTCCAACATTGCACACAGCGCTCACATGGACATCTTCCAGAACCTGGCTGTCGATTTGGATACGGAAGGTCGTTATCTGTTCCTGAACGCTATTGCCAACCAGTTGCGCTATCCCAACAGCCACACGCACTACTTCAGCTGTGCGGTGCTGCATCTGTTTGCCGAAGCCAACTCTGAAGCGATTCAGGAGCAGATCACGCGCGTTCTTCTGGAACGCTTGATCGTTAACCGCCCGCATCCATGGGGACTGCTCATAACGTTCATTGAGTTGATCAAGAACCCCATTTACAAGTTCTGGGACCATGACTTTGTGCACTGCGCGCCGGAGATTACCAAGTGAGTGGCCCTTTCTTTATTTAACTCTGCCAAAATAATGATTTCCTTTAAGGCGTAGTATTTAGTAGTTTAGTAGCAATGCAGCACCAAATAATGAACCTCGCTTCTCCAATCCCTAACCCACATTCGCACCTAACTTACATTTTACCACCCCTCCTTTTTTCAGATATTTCGGTGAATGTCTGATTGTAGTTAAGCGGTTTGAGCATTTAATTGGCATTCAGTGTGCATCGTAGCAAGAGATCAAGTTCAGGCCTCAAAGCGAGTCAACCAGTCCCCCATCCCACTCATTTTGCATGTTAACCTTTCTTTATATATTCGTTTGTAACCTCCTATTTTATACAATTTAGCATTAATCTATGAAAATATAACTTTGTATTAAGCAAGTGGCTTCTCGGATGCTTGGCCCGAAGCGAAAAGAGTTGATATTAAACCGCAATGTGTTCTCAATATTCCGTAGGCTCTTCGAATCAGTGGCTCGGTCCTGTCTGGCCAAGTCGAACGTCACTCAGCAGCTGAACATGCCCGTCGTCGATGGCGAGGGCCAGGAGGTGGCCAACATCAACTGAGAAAACGCCACCGTCCGACGCTTCTGCCTGGAGGTCTGCGCGAGACCCAGACGCAGGCAGTAGCTGCCTGGGCAGCACACCACACACCACACGGCACAGCATTCATTGAATTGTACTAACCATTACTGTGTTTAGTTCTTAGTAAGTCGTTTTAAGGAGACAGTGAAATCAGCAACAGCAGACACAAACATTTACAAAACAACCGCAACAATAAGAGTAGAGCAACGGCAGGCCAGGCTAACTGCTGTGCTAGAAACCGAAATTCGACTTGTATTTAAACGAACGGAAACGATAATATTTTAAATGCCTCCCCCCTTCGCCGGGGAATGTTACAAATTTTTAATTGAGTTGTATTATAAATGGTAGATGAAGGCGTTAAACTGTTGATGACAGATACTGTGTAAAGAAATCAATCAAACAGATAAAAAAGAAAAAAGATATAGAAAAAACCAAAACAAAAAAAATGAAAATCGAAAAAGGAAAAATATTTTCTACAAAAAAATTGCAAAATGTACGATGAAAATGCGAAAAAACTAACAAATGCGAACGGCCACATATGAAATTTGTGTACACATATTGAAAGAGCGAAGGAACCAGGAAGCAGAAAGCGGAGACCTAGTAAACCTACTCTATTTATAGACGTGAATCGAAAAGCAGGAGCAGAAAGTTTGAAAGATCCTCAAGTCAATAACAATTCGAGTTGTCAAAGTAGCTTACCTCCCAGCCAACTCAATGATGTATCATTTGCAAATTCGTAACCTCTAAGAGTCCCTCAGTTAGTCTACTCGTATACGTTAACTTTTTTAAAATGTTCCCGCACAACAACGGCAGTCACTGCAACAGTAACCAGAACCAACCAATGTTTGATCTTCTTATACGCAATGTAAGCGATACGTTTTGTTTTTACCTACATACTTTTATGAACTGATTATTAACTGAAATGGAAATGCATTGAACACCTCTAGCTTGTTAAAAGTATAATCGATCATCCATGTAAAGATAAACGCTGTTAGGATCGGAGAGATATAGAGAGAGCGTGGCGCAGAGTCGCGGCCATTATCTATATAGATCTTTATATAAATATATAAAATATGTATTTCTAAATATAAATACGTAATGTAAATCGAGTTTGATTGCCGCGCAGCGAGTGGAAGTGGACGGGCAGCGAAGCGAGATCGAGATCGATTCTAAATTCATTATCCTACGTTAGGCAATTTGCGAGTTATGTACGTGTTATTAGCCGCCCTCTCCCACTCGTCACTCAAGCACCACTGCAGCAACTCTATTAGTTTGTAGTCTCTACCGCAAATGAACATTCATTGTATCTACGAAAGTCAAATCTATTTTGAATTAAACTGAATTAAAGCCTGAAGCCGAGCAAAGTGCATATGTAGAAATCGAGGTATGGAGGAGAGAGTAGAGGTAGGAGAAGGAGAAGGAAGATAGGGCTAGCTTATTAGCCAAAGGCCCAACTCATTTATAGACTAATTCCGTTTGCGATGGCTAAGAAGTATGTATGTATATGATGGATGTACAGACATTCGTTCACCGATCGACCGACACATTAATTAACGAAAGCTGCGACACAAGAAACCACAACAAATCTACATTGATAAATAATAATCCATTACAATCGAAATAAGTAACACTATGCATTAAGAGAACAATATATATATAAAAATTAATATGTATACAAAACAAATATTAAATGTATAAATGGCAAAATTTTAAAAAGCCCCGTGTTTGAGATACTTTTTTTCCCTTATGGCCGTAATGTGAGTTCGTGTGTGCGGCCAACACTTAAAAAAGCTCGTTTCATTGGAGCAAAGGCCCCTCTCTGTATATAGAGAGTACCCCGTACATATGTAGCCCATTTCCGCACCCAGGCTTACATAACCCACCGCCCCCTTCTGGGCTGTTGGTGGGGCGCATTTGGGTTAAGTAAACACAAATGTCGATAAATGCGGAGAGAGCGGTTTCAGCTTGGAAAACTTAAATGTACGGGTGTATCTATCTATTGTGCGACACGAATTCAGCATTAATTGAAATGCTGCAGTCATCGCAATGCCCCCGCCGCCGCTTGTTTTCGTTGCCAATTCACATGAATTTGTCATAAGGCTGATAAACGACGATTGTGTAGGGTGCACTCTTAAAAATAATAATCATTGAGTTGAGAATTGTCTTGTTTTTCGATAATGTATCTTTTAAGGAAGGAAAATCGAACAAAAATTAAGATTTGTTCATAATAAAAGTTTAAAATTTTTTTTACGGAGTAAAATATTTAAAATAAAAATTTCTTTTATTAATGAGAGGGATAGAACCTGAAAATATTTAGATACAAATTTAAAGTCTTAAGAAAAAGTTTTCTCTAAATTCGTTTTCTCAGAAAATCTTAAAAGAGTAGTTTTACTTTTTTTCCGAGTGTATAGTGTAGAGTAGAAAAAAATGCCCAGCGGCTTGTATACATGTGTGTGTGGCGTATCTGTGTGAGCGCTTGGAAACAGAATGTGGCACACTTAGCGCTCTGCCGACATCGCTGCGCAAAAGCAAAAAATTCCCCCACTGGCCTGGCCGTACATTATGTGGCCCCCAATCCGAATGGCAATGTATCCGAAAGATACAAAAAGCGGCACTGCAGCTTTGTGGCTCTACATGGCCATTTGAATCGGCTTAGAAGTGCGCGCGCGCGCTGCCGTGCGAGCGAGACGGAGATGGAGTTTCGTTAAAAAGCTTTCCTCCAGTCCGGTCGCTCCAACACAGTCACGTGTTTTTTTGTATCTGTGACCGCCTGTATCTTTGTATCTTTGCGGCAAGCTTCTTCTGGCTGAGTCAGCCAAAGCAGCACCATTAGTTGTGAGCACATTTTGTGTATGCTGCCATTAGTTTTCTTCTTCTGCTTCGTCTTTGCCTCCCTCTTCTTCTTTTTCTGGCCCTGCAGATACAGATACAGATATACATAATTGGTAGAACCCCCCTCCTTCTCGCTGGTGGAAAAACCAAAAACCAGACCGCAGCTGCATTTCTTTGAATGTCCCCCCCATTTTCCCGCACTCTTGATGACCCAGTTTCGGTTTCTCTAGGCCCGATGCACCGCCTCTTTGGCTAGAAAAGAAACCCTGTGATTAGGCCCAGTCCAGTCGAAACTAGGTCTCCTCCTTTGCGCACAAATCGAAGCTGAGCAAGCGAACCGCTCCTTAAACAGAAATTGCAGCGGAAATTGCCCGAAAATAAAAATCTGCCCCAGACCAAGTGAAATCGGAAATGAAACCCAACCCATTACCAAATATTCCTTTTGGCCTTTGGGAATCGTCAATCATCGCATGTTGACACCAAATGGAAAACATAATTCAATCATTCAAACGGGGGTCGCTAGCTTCGTTTATGGCCGTCCATTCGGCAATAGGAAATTATTTGGACAAACATTTAAAAGTTCGACATCGAATGAGTTCATATCTGAAGAAAAGGTTTAGCTAAAAAGGCTAAAATAGATGTAACCAAAGTCCATTTAAAAAAAATACCAGAAACGTAAAACATTTCCGTTTAAAAACTTACTTTTAAAATTAAGTAATTAGAAAATTAAAGCAACATTATTGGTGTTTCATTAATATACAAAAAGAACCAATCATTTGCTACACATTTAAAAAATCAAAATTGCTTCTTAAGAATAATGGTTAAATGTTGGTCTGAAAAAAACTGATTGGCGCTTTTTTTGGAATTTAAATTGTAAGCAATTTAATTATTTAATATCTTTACTTTTCTAAAGCCCAAAAAATATCGTAGACTTTGCCAAACCATCGGTCGCATAAACGTAGTGAAAGCTTGGGTATGGACAAATTCTTCCCATAATGTTTTTTTGCAGTAGTTGTTGCACTGATTCTTTCCACCCTGAATGCGTTTGGTGTGTAGCTCATTCATCTATGAATGTCCCTGTATATTAATAGAATATTCACTCGGAAGACCATATACCATTTTTCCAGACACGAACAAAAGTGGCCATTGTTGCTGTTCGCCATTTGTGCTCCACTTGGCCAGAGTAACCACCTGGTCAATTGGCGCAGACCGCGCGTGATTGCAACTGACTGATTGGGGCTGCTTGCAGGTTGTCAGTTGCCATTGCTGGTTAATTGAATTCGCCGGCAGGTGGCATTTATCGAGGAGCAGCTCCGCAGCTCTACGGTTCCACAGGAAATTGCGCAGCTTACCAGTTCAATTAGAAGGAATTCGATTTTCCCCAACCAGGTTTCCCATGCAAGATTCGTTTAGCTATGATGCATTTTAATTGGGTTATGTCAGCCGAAGAAGAATACACTCATAGAAATTTTTACCCTAAATCGCCCTAAAAAACTGACTTTTCGCCCGTGGATTTAGAAAATCGCCCATAAATCGTATCCGCTGGCGATTCGCCCGTGTGTTTAGAAAAATTTTCTAAAAAATCCTGTTGGAAATTTGGTTTAATTTAGGGTGATTTTTCTTGAAATAAGAAATATTTTCCTGTTTTGAGGGTGATTTGCCCTAATTTTAAGGTGTATTTTTCTAAAATCAAGGGCGAATTTTCTGTTTTTATAGGCGAATGCCCTTAAAAATTAGACAATTTAAAAAAAATCGTGTTTGAGCATGCTTAACTGAATTTGGGAAGCATGTTTTTTTTTTAATAGTCTATATTCTGGGAACTGGGACTGCTTTAATTAAACAACACCGGCGGAGGACACCGTTTCATATTATTGTATTGGTTTGTAGCTTATATGGGAGCCGCGTTAAGAGGGGGGCCCGATCTATACAGCACAGGCGTTAGAACTGAAAAATCATGTTTGTAAATGAATTAGGGAAATAAATATGAGGAGAAAAAACAACTTACTTTTTTGGTCATTGCGAGAATCGAACCCACGACCTCTCGGTTTAGAGTCTAACGTCCTACCGCTGCACCACAGACCCATCGCGCAAGACGACGAACCAACTCTGCACACATCTTATTTTCTTGAGGTCTACGTTATAATATGACTAAAGGCAACTAAACCGTATATTTTTTCCTGACGACTGTGACAATTAGTCCCGTTTTCTTGCCCGCAAACACAAAGTATGCTTTTAACTCAGAACTCCCATACGTTTTTAAGGTTTAAAGACTACTTTAATTTAAAATTCGGACGAAAAAATGTCCTCAGTATTATAATGCTTACAAAAAAAAAAAAAAACATAAAAATCAAGTTGAATCACACAGGGTTCGAACCCACAACCCCACGACCTTAGTCCTCATATAGCAAAGTTGAAAGCGCAAGTGATTAGACCGCTGGGCTACCGAATTTCACACTTTTGGAGTGATTTTTAAGGCGAATCGCCCATGTATTTAGAAAAATTTTAGAAAAAAAATTAGGGCAATTCGCCGTTGGATTTAGAAAAGGTCAAAACGAAGCAAATCGAAAAAATCGCCCTAAATATTAGAAAAATAGAAAAATTAACCCTAAAAATATTTTTTATGGTCACCTGCCTTAAATTTATGGCAAATTTGTCGTGAAAATAGAAAATTTTTCTCAGTTCAAAGGCGAAAAATTTTTTAGGGCAATTTTCTAAAATGTAGAAAATTATTTTTATGAGTGTATACATATGCCAAAAAAGATAGAAATGAAAGGAAGAGCTAATCCTAGGCATAAGGACCGATGCCAGCTGCCCGGGCCATCAAAGCGGGAATATTGCTCTGCTCGTAGTTGCCGCTGAAGTACTGGGCAAAGGGTCCCGAGGCATAAACCGCCACATCGTCTCCGCCATGGGTCTCCGCATCCAGGGGCGCCAGAGTGGGATACTGATAGTCCGAATCGGCCACCGATTTTTCCTTCAGCAGGGCTCTTCCCTCGGCTCGATTGTAGCCGGAGTAGTAGCCGGGTCCATTGGCGTAGGACAAGATCGTGTAGGGCAGATTGTCATCGGCTAGCTGGGCCAAGCCAGTGATCTCCTGGTCGCGGAACTGTGGAAAGAAAAACCATTGATGAGTCAAATGAGTTAATGTCCCGACTATCTAATAATCGTAATCGGAGTGCGAGGGAGATGGATATCTAAAATTTTTTTGATTGCTGATATATTTTTAATAAATGGTCCGATTTGAAAAATGTCTTCTACATTTTGATAGGTATAAATATATACAACAAAATTGCATTTATACTTCTTGGAAATCTTTAAAGGTGTGGACGTCAGACACATTTTAGTGGGGGATTGTGGGCGTGGCGCTCGGGTGAATTAATCTTGCGCTGCGTAGGAAACCCAAGAATATGTGTGGAAAATCTCTACCTTCTAGTTTTTGTAGTTTCCGAGATCTCAGTGTTCATACGGACAGACAGACATGGCTATATCGACTCGGCTAGTGACCCTGATCAAGAATATATATACTTTATGGAGTCGAACACGCTTCCTTCTCCCTGTTACATACTTTTGCACGAATACAATATACCCTTTTACTCTACGAGTAACGGGTATAAAAAGTTAGTTACCCACCGGATAGCCATTGATGGACATAACATGCGCATGGTCGGCGGTGACCACGATCAGAGTGTCCTCCTCGGAGGTCAATTCACGCGCTTTCTGCACGGCACTGGCAAACTCGGCGGTGTCCTCGAGGGATCTCCTGGCGAAGGTATCGTGGTGGGCCATATCGATGCGGGCACCCTCGACGAACAGGAAGAATCCCTCCTGGTTGCGGCTCAAGACCTTGATGGCAGCCTCTGTGAGCTCTGTGAGCGAAGGATCCGCCAGCTGGCTGCGCTTCCTGGACCGATCTCCGTTGTAGGGCAGGTGATCGTTGGCAAAGAGACCCAACAGATAGTCGGTGATCTTCAGGTCCACCTGGCTGAGACCCTTGCGACTCCACACGTAGTTGGCCGAGACATTGGCCTCCCGCTTCTGGTCCAACCAGCTGCGGATCAGGTGGCGACCATCGGTCCGCTGGCCGGGATAACCCTCCTCGTCGTTCACCGTCGAGTTGATGAAGTTCTTGCGCCCACCGCCCAGGATAACCTTGAGCTGCTGACCCACCGGCTGCTCCACCAGCTGGCGGGCAATGTCGATGGTCTGCTCGGGATCGCACTCCCTATTGGCCACCTCCCAGTCGTTCTCCCAGTTGCGATCGGCAATGTGGGCATAGACGCCAGCCGGCGAGGCATGCGTCACCCGGGCGGTGGTCACCAGTCCCGCGTCCTTGCCCGCCGCCTGTGCCCACTGGGCGATGCTGAGCACTCGGTCCTCCTCCTTGGCGGCGCCATCACAGCTGTACCTGGGCACATTGGCATTCACCCCGATGGTTCCGTAGTTGGCCTTCACACCACCCAAGTAGGCGGTGGCCGTGCAGGCCGAATCCGCCACCTGGCGGTTCACACAGTAGGTCTTGGAGAGACCCGTGTAGGGGAATCCCTCAAAGTAGACCTGCTCCGCACTGTCGCCCAGCAGATTCCGGGTGGCGGTGACCGTGTGAACGGACATTCCGTCGCCCAGGAACAGGATCACGTTCTTCGCCTTGTTCGAGCTCACCGACTGCGTCTCGGCCAGTTTGGACAGGAGCTTCGCCTGGGCCTTGTCCACCCAGTACTGCGTCTGCTGCTCCTCCGCATGCTTGATGGGATGCGATTCAGCATCGAAGGATCGGCCACGTGGGTGGTCTGAATGGGAAATCGGGATAAATTGAAAGGGGTTTAGAGCTTCGAATTTTAATTGGTAGAAAACAAGGTTCAAATATTAAATGCTATTCATTGGCAGTATTTCGCTACTTTTAGATACCAAAAACTTTAAGGTCAATAAGACTGTTAACAATTGGTATACCAATTCTATAGAAAAACGGTTAGTAAACATAAATCACTTTGAGCTTAGAGGTTTGCTAATATATCAATGGGCTTAATAGAGTCTTATCTCTACGCATGGTTTAGCAGCAAACACACGTATTTTGAGATTAGGAGCCACTTCGAAGAATTTTATCTCAAAGTACCTCGTCCTATAACTAGAAATATATTACCACCAATCTATTAGTTAACTGCCATAAATAAGAAGTAATCCTTTAGGACTACATACTTTCAAGAGCTCTCATTTTTTATTTATCAAATATTTTATAGGAAAGTTTTTGTTTTGGGTCATCAAAAATACTCAATAATTATAATTAAAATAATTATTTTAGACATTTTAAATAATAAACATTTTTAATTGTCACTTTTAAATAGGTTTTTAAGCCACGCGTTTTTTGATAGAAATTGTATATATTCAACATATTGTAAGGACACTTATGACTATCGGTTTTTTATCCAAACCTACAATTTTTTTTTACTCAAGCAGGATCAGGGAATCTTACCTCTCTGTCCGCTGGCATTTCCGCTCAGCGAAATGGCGAAGAAAAGCAATAGAACGAATCTCTTGGCCATTGTCCACTAATCCCAGGTTACCCAAGCGACTTGTGCGGCGGTCAGACCTTGGTTGAAGACTGAACCGACTGACCGACCAAAATAATTGGCCATCGCCTCGGACTTATCGCTCAATATCAGAGTAAATCTAATCAAGGCAAACTAATCTAGGCGGTTCAATCAAATCATCATTTATGGCTGGCCAGGAATTGGTTGACAGAAGTCGTAGAACGGTCCAAAACCAGAGCCAAACCATGCTCACGTGCTTTGGCCACAAAATTTATATACAAGTATGTCTGTGAATCTCTGCTCATAAATGATTACGTATACGATCTGTGTAACCAACTGGTGAATTGGTTCTTCTGCAAACTTTCATAACTTTGTTAGCTTGCTGCCGTTTATTCTTTTGTTTACGTCAGGAAATTCCCTGTTGACATATTTGTGGCTTCAACTATGAAAATGGCAGCACCTCAACCCTTTGAATATTGGATTTGAACCCGTGACCCTTGGCGAAAAATTGACTTTAAGTCTGCACAACTTTTGAACTTTGATTGTCGCAATTGCATACTTTCGGGGCTATGCTACTAACTAAAAAACTAACTAAACTAACTAAAAGGAAAACAAGAATCTTAAATAAATAATCGCCTTTTTATTGTATCCGTTTTACAATATTGTTTTAGCCAGAGCCACAATAGATCCCGTAAACTTGATGACCTAAAAGTGTTTCAGTTAAGTTGTAGCCATAATTGCAATACCGAAAAGATACTGACTGATGTGAAGACTGGTAAAGAAGGTGCAAAAAAGGGCACCCTCACCGTAATGGGTCGTTGGGCTCGCAGGATGATGAGGAAAACTCGCCGGCGCGTCTCCCGATCCCATTTATACCAGGCGCTTCCGTAGGCCGCTTCTCCCAAGGAAAGACTCTAAAAGTAACAGAGGAAAATCAAAAAATTTAAAGGATATTTTTTTAAATTTCGGAATTTTTCCTGTTCTAATTTACCCACCTCAGTGGACATTTCAGTGCCACCATAGCAATAAAGAAATATTGCCGACGAAACAGTGAACGTATAAACCACATAGCGTATGATATTGTAGCCGGTATACTAAAGAAATAATTTGTTCAAGATATATAGGCTTATCGTTTAAGCATCACAAATTATCACCAATAGTATATCAATTAAGCTGGTGGCTATTACCAGGCTGGCTGACACAAAGTGCACGAAAGTGGGAGCAGCCATGATTCCGGAGAATACCTGGACAATCTTCTCGATTTCATTATGACGATCCACGATATCCGCCAAACGCTGACAGCAGATATTTGATTCTCTGACTGAGGGATCTAAGAACAGTCAAAAATTTAGTCTTTGAGTATTTTTGTAACTTATTCACCTTGACCAAAGCTTTAAAAAGATCGACATTTCGATATTTTCGATGTTTTTCAACTATCGATGTATATCGGAAACATCGATGTTTTTCGTATGTCTTATTTTAAACATAATTATAATAATTTTTTTTAGATTTTACGTTTTTTCCTTTAAAACATCGATATTCTCGATACGATATTGTAAAATGATCGAAAATATCGATATTTTTAAAGCCTACCTTCAACTGGCTTGAGGGCATTCTGAACGTCATATCTCAAAGCCTTAAGCAAAAAAGCCATATAAAGGGTGAAGCCAAAGAAGAAACCATCTGTTCCGGCAAAGGCATACACAGTGACCTGACCACTCCACGTGGAGTAGAGGTAAAAGATGGGAAACCAGGGCATTCGGTGGGCAAACTCGGGGAACCTGTAGAATCATATAGAGTACAGAATTTACGAAAGATCTAAAAACCACACCCACAGCATGCGAAAGGGCATATCGTATTTGAACTCCTCGCGTCGCCGCGCCCACATTTCCCAAAGGGATCGCAGGACGAAGGCGCCGGTGGTGATGCTGCCCAGAGTGAAGACCAGCATGCCACACCTGGTGACCATTAGATAGTAGCTCCTCTGAGCCGAGTCCCTGCGCGAATCTCTCCTCATCTCCTGCTGTTTGATAAGCAACCGGATGCGATCCATGAGATCAGAGACTTCCTGCCGGCGCCACCACATCCAACCCAGCTTAAAAAGCGTGGTGAGACTGCAGGCCAGGGGACAAAAGGCATCCATGGCGTCCACGGGACTGGTGCGCAAGTGACTCCAGCCGAAGACGAACTCCGCCTGGCAGCAGTGCGCCAGATTCACGAAGTTGAAAACCAGCCATGAGAGATGAAACCACGACTGCTTCTGGCCGAAACGCAGACCCAAAAGGCTAAAGGAGTATCTGGTCACAAAGAACAGATGCTTCGCCAGCGGATAGTTGCGGTCTAGAAATCGCGGATACATGACTTTTTCCGCTTCCATAAGCACTTCCCTTTTATAGACCCCAACGAGCGCCTTCTAATTGTTTAATAATTGTTTTCCAGCCCGAAAGAACGACACCTGGCCGTGTTTAATGACAGGATTAGTCGGAGGACCTAATTGAGTGGGCGACAGACCCAGAACGCCCCCAACACATGTCATTATGGTCAGAAACCAGCCTTATTTTTATCATCGGAACCTTATAATTAAGCCATTTCCTTCGATCCTTTTAAGACATGCGAGAGGGAGTCAACTTAAGATTTGATTTTTACTTCATTAATTAGTAATGGATAATTGGAAAACCTAAGCTGGTAATTTATTTCTTTCAACATTATTCAACAACAACATTATTCGCAAAGTTGGTAAGACAAGAGGAACCCAGATAGTTAGTTTTAATAATTTAAAACCGTGCGCAAAATTATTTTTAAAAACAAAACAAGATTTTAAATAAATCTTCGTTAGTGTAAGACCGCGAATTCTTCAGTCGAAGAAGAAACCACTTTAAACAATCGATTTAGGCACTAAAACGATTATTTAACAACAGAGTATTAGTTAAAACAGGAGTGTTAAATCAACAAGAAAGAAAATTCATCCCAATTCCCTTACCAAAGTTTAGTTGAAAAAGCTAGTTTGTAGTGCCAGCCTGTTTATTTAATAACAAGTCTGAAACGTGAATCCTTTTGACTTTAATAAATTTTACTCAGATTTCTTTTACTGGAGAACTATGATTTATTTTTAAGATTAATAACACACTTAACCATACTAAGTTGTATTTAATATTCTAGAAAATACAAAGTTAAATAAATTGTGTGATGTCGAAAGGAATGCCTAGATTTCGATGCCTTTTTTATCCAATTTAAAATACTTCTTGGCTTGCGCCAAACCAAAACAGCATCCATAAATATGAGCTTCCTTTTGTTGGGGGCTTCGAGCATAAATTTGTGTTTGGCCTTTTTCGCTGTGTGTTTTGGCTTGTTGTGGGAAGTTTGCTGGAGTGCCGTTGAACTCGCGACAAATTCGAATTTCAAATCAGCAGGAGATGTGGGTCAGGCGAAGGGAAGCGTTCGCGGATTTGCATGGGACTCGCCTCATACAGATTTATGTTGATGCATGCAACGTTCGCCAGCGCTTGCTTGCCTTTTAGGGTGAATCACTTTTAATTAAGTTCTTTGTCCGGCTCACGTTGCGTATGAGCAATGCTGCGCCCTGTGCGCCCGATATTGATTTCCAGTGGGGCACTTTTGATTATGACTATTTGTGCAGGGGGTAGGTTTAATCTAAGAGCTTCGCACTGCTTGCGGAAAAACATCCACCCCAAGGCTGGTGGCTGATATCATCGCAACAGCCCCCGAGCCCCAGCGCCCCGTTTTATGGTTAACCACCCCCGAAAAAACGGCAACAAAGGTGACCCCGACACACCCTGTTGAGCCGCCCAGCCACCCACCCGGCCAGCCCCTTGGAAAATCTCGCCTGGAAAGGCCCCCCGCTCATTACAATTTCCCCTGATTTTCCGCCCCCGATCCTGCTGCAAGAAAATAAGGCGAAAATCAGCACAAGCACAGCAAGTGGAAAAGTTAGGAGTGCCCGGCAGTACTGGAATCGAGGAAAAAGGAGGCCAGCGTGTCAGCGAGTCGCCAAAAAACAGTTGCAGAACCCGAACGAAAAACCCGTTTTCCCACCAACACAGAAGACATGCTGGTTGGCCCACATTCGCCGTGTCGCTGTGGAAATTGGAAGCGAGTTTTCCCAGTTTAAGAGCGATGGGTGGGGGTTGGGGGGACACTGCGAAACAGGTTGATTTTCCCGCTGACGCCGTTGGCCATTAGCCAAATGGGATTTCACACGCTTCCTTTGGGCTCCGCTCCGATGCGTCGCCTCACGTCATGGCCCAGTTGGAGTTGGCATCGCCGGAGTCGCTGGATTCGGTGCCTGTCAGCACCACCATCTATCCTCCATCATATGGCGTACATCACCATTCCTGCCTGTGCACGGAAAACAAAGATATCAATCATACTATTTCGGTTTTAATAGATATTTTCTATTGCCATGTCTCTTTTTCTCTTTATTTTCTCCCCCAAATCAAAACCTCTTTCAGAACTACAATATGCTTTCTCTCTGTGTACTCAGACCCCCCGAAAGACCATCATCATCGTCATCCAGCTGCAGGCGGGATCAATTATTAAGGCGCCGCTCGGGATGTACGTATGTGCGACAACCTGATTGACAACCTGCTCAGAGGCTTTCAGCACGTCATTCGAATGGCACAAACTCATTCACGGCTGAAAATCGTTGGGGCTGAAATAATAGCCTAAAATGAATCTTCAGTTGATGAAGACGCCGAACATAAGGTGTGCATATCTACAGGAATTCAAGAATTCATATCACGGAATTCAGTTATGACTAAAATTAATGGTTCAAACTTAGAGAATTACCGAAAATACATTCTTAAAATTGATTTTATATAAATTAATGGCAGTAATAGGTTAGATATAAAAGAGATTAGCATTAATTCTATTTCACGAAAATATGGCATCTAAATTTGTGATAAAAGTAAACGATTAGTTCTTCAAGTTAAGACCATGTTATACTTGAAGTACTTAAGATTAAAAAGACATCCAAAAATTAATTAAAACCAGAATATTATGCATGTATATTTACTATTTCAATTATATAGAAAGAACCATTCCGAAATTAAAATTTAAAAATGTGTGCAATTATTCTTGGAACAAACCCATTGCCACATAATCAAGATAGGCAAAACGAAGCTTTCGCTTTAGTTTTATACGCTCCTGACATGACATTCTGTTGGGTGTGCGTGATCACTGCCAGAAGCAGTTAACCCAAATGATTTTTATCTAAACGAAAGCATTACCTACTGATAATTTCTGATATTCTCGACTAATCCAAAGCAACTGTTTTCCATTGGGGCAACCGAAAGCCCCTCGATTGCCGCTGGTTAATTTACAAAGCGGCGTTAATTATAATTAAAACAGGCGAACTAAATGAATAAACGTATAAATAGCATGTACATGACTATGTGCCAGAGTCATATCTATATGGCCTAGCACTATAAGTGCTCGCATGTACCAATATAACTATATGTACATGTTTTATATAGCCCAGTGAATATACATATGAATTTGTGGGGCTTATATCCCCGTTCGCATGGCCGCAGATCGAGCGTGACACAATACAATTTGTGGCGCTTTGTTCTAAGCGCTCGAAGCTCTTCGTTTTCCCCCGGTTTTCCCCCTTTTCCGCGCCGAGCAGACGTGACATAAGCTAAATTGTTTTAAATTTTGTTGAATCGCTTTTCCAATGACTGCCAAGCGTTCTCAGTACGATAAATTGGAACTGCTTCGCATGTCATGTGGTTGAGTGGTTGAGGCATTGGGCCATTGGGGGGTGGTACTACTGCTTCTGGGGGTGTTGAGGTCTGGGGCTTGTGGCCAACTTGGCCGGAGGCGGGGGGATCTTTAAGCGGTGGCCATAGGCCTACACAGTCGATAGTGCAGCGGATAATTACGGACCGAATGGAGATGTCAGCTGACCGAGAGTGGGCCTTCTCCCCTACTTTTTCCCAGACAAACAAACGCCTCTGATTAATAGCAATTAGCGCGGATCGATGTTGGATCGACGGCCTCCAGTTTGGCCACATTTACAGACCGAAACATGAGCATTCATTTCCTCTAATTCGGGACGACAAATGAGCTGACATCAACATGTCCAGCATAACAAGGCTACAGAGTGGAAGGGGAATGGTGTTGAAACCGAGTTGACATTAATTAATGTCAATTTTTATGGATAATTGTAACTAAGAGTGTCATATGTTCTAGTACTGACTAATACATTATAAAGAAAATAAAAATATTTATTCCTGTAAGAAGTGGTAAGTCTAGATTCTAGACTCTAGAACCTAAGAAAATAGTTTTAAAACAGAAAAGTTTGTTAGAAATGGCCCTATTTATTTCTTTCTATTTTACAGCGACTTTTGAAATCAAACTAAATTCTTCTGATACATGTTTTTGGGTTTTCCCACAATACAATCATTTCATATTTATCTTAACCCTTAGCTGCATCCAAAGCGGAAAGCTCAAAGCTCCAGTGGAGTCAATCGCGAATCCAAAGCTAAGCGCAGGCTTCTCTAACCGAAAGAAACCCCATTAATCACACACACTCGGCACAAAGTGTTGTGTTCTGGGTCTGAAGTGCGGCTCAGAAACCGAATCCACAAATTTGAAACTGGCTGCCTTCAAGGCCAACTTCTTATTAAATGCTGGCCTTAAATGCCAAGATGTGAGTCGCCGAGTGGAAGCCGCACCGAAACGTTGCAAGGGGCTGCTGAAGGACTGGATTATAATTACACAGCGACCAAAGATCAAGTATGGGGACGGGCCTTAGCTAGTTCAGTTCTATTGGTTTATTGTAAAACTAGCTTTCGACGATCATCAAATGCAAGATGGCGTCATTTTCGCTTAGCAACTGATGTGGAATCTATCCGGATGGTTGCTTGAAGAAGGGGTTCGGTTCGGGGGATGTCTCCGCTAATGAGTAACAAGTATGGGCAGATACTACAGTCCGACTTCCAGAACCAAAACACACCCATTTGTATATATCACGTCTATAAAATTAAAACTACATTGTTATATAAATACTACTCAAAACTTAAAGGTTGAAAAAATTTTTATGATGAAAGATACAGCTTTCTAGAAGAACGAACCATATATCTAGGTTTAATTCAAGTTTAAAGTATAAATCCAATATTTGTAGATAATATTAAGACATTTAAATACTACCATAACTAATTTTCCTAAATTTTAAAGTCATACACAGAGAAAAAAACGGAACAATATGGAACTGATATGGTTTCATATCAATTTTCCCATAACAAAATGGTATGTTTTCATATCAATATGGTACAAAATCATATGTATGGAAATATCATTTTGATATGAAAACAGATGGGACCAAAATTGATATGAAAA